CTAAAGACCAGAAGTTCTCTGCCCAGTACTGGTATCTAAACAGGATTATTGGCCTACACCAAGTACCAATAGTGCAGGAGTAATATATCGCAGTATTTGTGGAAATCCGCTTAATATTCTTTTTACCTCCGCCAAGGAGGTTGTGTTTTCGGTAGCGTTGGTTTGTTTGTTTGTTTGTCTGTTAGCAACTTTACGGAGAAAGTAACAGATGGATTGACCTGAAATTTTCACCAGAGGTGCGTCTCAGTGGTGTAGATCGGCAGCACAGTGGTGTAGTTGTTGGCACTGTTGCCTCACAACCAGAGGGTCCTGGGCTTGAATCCTGGTCAGGGCATTTCTTGTTTAAGCGGGGACATGAGCTACTTGGTGGAGGTCTGCGCTCTCCAAGTGCTTTTCTAGTTTTGCTAGCTGTGCCAGTCATTGCACGTTAACTAGTTAACCTGCCGACACTTGACGCTAGCAGTAGTAGATTGGCATGCCAATATTTACACCCAATGAAACAGAATATAAAAGGCCTTACCTGTATCAATATCGTCAGTATCATGTTTCTGTGTTAACATCATCATCAGTATAAGTAAAAGATTGTAATACTGGTTGCTGTGTCCATTTCTGATATAAGTATCAGTATCAGAAATCAGAATCGATATCAGTATTTGTATCAATATTATAGTATCAATATCAGTCCATGAAATAAGCATCACCATTGGTATCAGGAATCAGCTGTGATATTTGTATCAATATCAGTACTAGAAATCAACTTTACTCTAAGTATCAAAAATCACTTATTTCTCTGCAATTATCAGCCCTTGGACCAAGTATTGGTGCTGATATCAGTATAAGACATTAATACTGGTATTTGTATTAGAAAACAGTACTCATATTACAAATTGATACTTGTGTCTTGTAGAAGTATCATTAGTTTAAACTGGTATTTGCATTTGAATCAATATCAGTATACAGAAGGTAGTAGTATTAGACAGAAATACCACATACTTATTGACATAAGTCTTGTATTGGCATCAGAGACTGATACTGGTTATCGATACTGGAATCACAGTCAGAAAACAGTACCTTTTTAAGTATCTGTATCAGTATTTGTAGTGTTTTAACTGTGAGATATTGATGCTTGTATCAGCGTCAATATCAACACTAGTATCTGCACCAGAAATCAGTGTTTATCTGTATTGTTATTGATACTAATCTAAGAAAATCAATACCGGTATATGCACTAATATTAGGACTGGTATTACATCAAAGTACCTATTTCAAATATTGGTTCTGGTATCAGTATTGGTCCATAAGAAAACACTGATCATAACCTCCGTTGATGCTTAAAAGCCGTATTCAGATGTGTGACATCCTATTTGTCACAACAGATCGGTCTTATTATCCAGATCTATCTAAAAGGGTTGGTAAAGAACCCAACAAGGTTTTTTAAAGGACATAATTACCCCCTTCACTTCCCAACCCTATCAACTGCCAGATAATCTGGCTCAGAGCCACCTGAGTGACTCCTGGCGGGAGTTCTTGACTTGAACAAGATATCCGCCACACCAGCTGACACCAGGGCTCAACACAGGCTCTTCATTCCTTCTGTTTGATCGAACAACTACACACAAGCTCAGCGGCGCATTCTGGCAGAAAATGGCTGAAATATTCTCAATGAGCATGACTGGGCTTTGTCTTCACGGGTGACTGTTTCAGGTCTTGAAGTACCCTGTCTTCTGAGTATCTATCTTCTTAACATGCTTTTTTGCTGCGCTCACACTGTGAGTAAAATAGAGTAGGGTCATGAGCCAAGTCACGTGCCGTAAGAGAGCCCAAAGGCAGACTTGGAATGATAAGACATGTGCAGTGCAGATGATGTTTTTATTACAAGATGAAAAAAAAGAGGTAAGCCTTTCTATTCTTATGATTCTGGCAACTGATCACAGAGTTTTAAAAGTTCATCTCTATTAACTGCATTTGAATGCATGTTTAAAATTCCACTATAAGTCGATAGGTGAGTGACTTTCTGTCTGTGTTGACTTTGGCGCCTCCTGTGGACACAGCGGTAACCAGGAGTCTCTTTTTATTGTCTTTTTCAGTGAAATCAATCACAAACTTGGACTTTTTGCTGTGCGTGAACTAACAAAAACCATTTTTCAGCAGTTACAGCCTGTTGAATAACCTTTTAAAAAGTTCTCACAGGAGATTTAAAGCAGTGGATATTATTTTGGTTACTCAATGATGTCCCGCAGTATTTTCTGGTCTGAAGATGGGCCACTAGGCCGGTCAATCAAACAACATGGTCGGTAAAGTTTTGGTGTTGTGGGCAGGTGCGAATCCTTATCAGCAGATAGAAAAGCTTTGAAAACAATAAGACAGTGAATCAGCCATGGTTTCTGTGCTTCCACACTCTTAAGGTCCTTACACACCTGGAACGACGCAAATATGCGACACGAAATTATGAAATATTCATAGGCAAATTTTGACATATCAAGCGTGATGCAATTTTGCAACTTTCCGGGCTGAAAAAAGGCGCGCCCCAGGTGGAAGCGAGAAGACTGACACAACGCTAGACTGAGAGTTTCAGTTCTGATTAGACACTAGTGTTGAGATGGCTGTCCGTCATGAAAGCATGTACTGAGGACTGAATGCATGTTTAAAATTCCACTATGAGTCGATACGCTAGTAACTTTCTGTCTGTGTTGACTTTGGCGCCTCCTGTGGACACAGCGGTAAGCAGAAGTCTCTTTTTGTTGTCTTTTCCAGTGAGATCAATCACAAACTTGGACTTCTTGCTGTGTGTAAACTAACAAAAGCCACTTTTCAGCAGTTACAGCCTGTTTAATAACCTTTTAAAACGTTCTCACCGGAGATTTAAAGCAATGGATATCATTTTGGTAACTCAACGATGTCCAGGGATCAGTTTTAATATGCCACTCAAAAGATCACTGACAATGGGGCTTAACTACAGCATGCCAAAAAAGACAGAAAACATGCATTTTGTTTTCATAAAGTAGAGGTTAAACCACTCAAAATGCATGTTATTTGACTTTTACTAGCTTGTCAGACAGAGTTTAAAGGCATACTCTTAACTGGTCCATTTGTGCACACGTGTGTTACGGCTCTTTCTATTTTTACTCCTCTTTGCAGCAAGTTATGGCAAAGAGTAGAGAACACAAGAGACCACTTAAGCTTGCTAAACAGAGCAGAAATCCAACTTTAACTTTGGTTTAGTGAGGTAATGCCCGAATGTTGTTTTGTTCACAAACACAGAAGGAGAAGGAGAAGGAAAGTCAGTTCCAGGTGCTTGAATCCTCGGCACCTGCTGGAGCAAACATTTAGTTTCAGGTATCGATCATCTCTCACAGATAACAGTATTCAGTGGTTTACCATCTGTCATAATGACTGGGGGCCTCCTGCCAGCTGCCTCCACAGGTTTTTCTTTTTAGTTTAGTGTTATACACCTTTAAAAAAAGGTGTTTATGAGAAAGAAACTTTCACTTCAGCACACTGACTTTCAGTTTTGGTTGTAATGACTACATACACATGTGTTTCGATAGGGTGTCCAAGCTGTATTGACTGATCGTTTCTTATTTTTCCGCTCTTTTCATGCACAACAGCAGCTTCTTTTGTGGAGCATGTTTACGCCAAGCTGCTGCTCGCCACAGGGCTCTGAGTTCTATAATAGACCGCAAAAACTGGATCACTATTTAATTTTATGAGGTAGAACATTTAGACATAATCGCCCCTTTGGAAAAAAGTTACATGTGATGTGTCGAAAAGCCTGAAATTATTTGGCAAATACGCAGCTTTTAAAGTCTTTCTCCTCATGGGAAGTGTGACTAACTTCATATTGAGTGACACTGGGTATGTGCGTGCGTGCGATTAGCCGGCACGCCGCGCGCAGGCAGAAAAGTTCATCGCTAGCGTAGCCGCGATGTGTCACCTCCCCGGCGGAGATTTTCAAACACGCTCACCATCAGCGGGAGGAATGGAAAAAGTGTGAATTGTGTGGACGAGGGCCGTGGACTGTTAGCATGTGATTCACACAATCTGGTGTTCAGAGCTTTCCCACCCTTGGGGGGGAAGGAGAAGGAGAAGGAAGGCATGTGGGCGATCAGGGCTGACACAGAGAGTTCATGAGCGTAATGTTTAAGAAACAGCTTTTATTCCACACACTGTTTAAATACTACATCCACTCTGCTATATAACACATTTAGAGTTGGATAATTCATTCGCGCTCTTTAGAGTAAGATTATTAAGACAGTCTTAATTATCTGGTTCATTTGGCTTCATACTAAGTCAGTATAATATCAGTTGCAGTCATACTGGTAAAACTGTGTCTTTTATAAGCCCTCCGAACTCATTTTCTGCACACTGCAATGCTTTTTTTTTTTGGAGTACATCCAAATGCTTCATAACCCTGGAATTTTTACAACACAATATAAAGATTAATTCTCATTCTTCACAGCAAAAATCATCCAATTTTACAGAGTGTTTCTAGGTAGGCACTCCAAGTCTCTGGGATGTATTTAATGATCATTGAAAAGGTCTGCGCTCTTTTGAATGGGGGCCCATGGGACTTTCATAGGGGCTCTGAGCCCAGCAGTATTTTCAGGTCTGGAAATGGGCCACTTGGCCGGTCAATCAAGCAACATGGTCGGGAAAGTTTTGGCGTTGTGGGCAGGTGTGAATCCTTATCAGCAGATGGAAAAGCTTTGAAACCAATAAGACAGTGAATCAACCGTGGATTCTGTGCTTCCACACTCTGAAGGTCCTTACACACCTGGAACGACGCAAATATACGTATACGCCACGAAATATTCGGAGGCGAATTTTGATGCGCCTGACTATACACATCAAGCGCAATGCGATTTTGCAACTTTCCGGGGAGAAAAAAAGACGTGTCCCAGGTGAAAGCGAGAAGACTGACACAACAGCAGACTGACTGTTTTTCAGTTCTGATTAGACACTAGTGTTGAGACTGTCTGTCATGATAGCATGTACTGAGTCAGTACCAGATAAGCACATTAAACTATAATCCATAAACGTAAGGTAACAACCGAGACCTAATGATGCTGTGACAGCAACGCAATTGAGTTTGAGACAGTGAAAATACATATGGTATGTTGTATCTGAACAGGTTAGCTTACGAGCTAAAGTTACTTAGCACAGATGAAAGTAAAAACAAAGACGTTTAGCAAACTGTTAAAGCACACAAACCATCGTCATATGAGAAATCCGACGCTATGACTCTCCACAAGTTGTCATTATCCTTGTAATATTTGTGTCTTTAATCAAAAAGCACTCTGTTCTGCGACACGTAAACAATCAGCCAGTCGGCCATGTTGGATATACTGGTGAATCTGACGTCGCATCAACATGCAATCTGATTGGTCAGAAGTGGACACACAGCATGCAAAACTTAAGAAAAATCAACCGTGAAATGAAAAATAAAATGTTGCAATATCCCAGGACGGGAAAACGTTGCCGATGTGAACACTTGACACATTGACAGGATACGGGTTCGAAAAAAATATTGACGTCCGAAATAATGGCACCAAAAAAACGCTTCCGGTGTGTAAGGACCTTTATTCTTGACTCCTTGGTTTCCAAGTTTCAAGCAAAATGTACTTCCATTTGTTTTCTCTGTTCATGACCTTCTAACTCCAGCCTCAGTCATGAAGCTCACTGAATCGACTGTTCCTGATGATCCTACCAAGGCTGTTACTTGTGCACCTTTTCCTCCCACACGTTTCCCTTCCAGTCAATTTAACATGAAAATGCTTCAACGCAGCACTCAGCAATGACCTTCTTTGGCTTACTCTCCTTGTGGAGGGTTTCCATGACTATTTCTGGACGACTATTGAGTCAGCAGTCTTCCACCTTGGCTGGTGGAAAACGCTGGACTTTTTCAAGATTTTCCAATTTGTTGGATTGAACCTGTAGTTACTTAATCTGCTAGTTTTACCCATAGGCTGCATATAGAATGGACAGAGTCTGCCTCTTCGATGGGTGAAGCCACTCCGAGAACAGCAACCTCTGGTGACGGGCTGCAGTATAGGTTATAAATCCGATGTTGCGATGTTGACATGTAGTTCTTGTAAGATTGGTTTTTGTGCTCAGGTCCTCTTTTTTTCTGTACAGCTCCGTTTTCAAAAGTTATTAGGGGGTTCAAGTTTTCTGTGATTGACACCAGATACAGCCAAGGGGCGTACAAGGATTGCGTAGCTCACCCGGGGGCTACACTGTTTGAGGCGAGCGTCATCACAGCGAGTGGAGAAAAATGCGGAATTCCCAAGAGCTTTTCGCCTTTAAATCTGGCAAAACGTGGAACCAAGTTGTCCATAGTATATAAAGTCTATGGTTTTACCCAGAGTTTACACTTGACCCTGCAAAACTACTTCATCAGGAGGTCTCTCTGGGGTTTAAATGTCATGATGCTAATGCCAGTACAACCATCACCAGGAATACTCACTTTATTTCCCAATCATGCAAACGCTAATGTCTTGAATTCTTGTGCAAAATCTGGCTTGTCCACTTGGATTCTTATGAAGTTTCCTCGACTTTTGGCTGTTAAAGGTTTTATTTCACAGTGGTACCTGAAGCTGCCCATTTGAGGTCCATTCTTTCATTTCCTACATGCTAGAGATGGAGGGTGAGTCCTCGACGTCATCTGAAAACACAGCAGTCTTTTTCAATTTCTGCAGAAAGATACGCATCTCTTCTTTTGCTCCTTTTTTTTCTAACAATGCCGGCAGCTGCCCCGGAGGTCCATTCCCTTTGCTTTCTTTTCCTTTTAAGCGCACGCATGGAGGGTCGTCGAGAAAAAGACCCCTCTGCTGGCGTGCCGCTTTCATCCGAATCAAAAAATTATCGGCCTGAACTGCGTTGAACTTTCATCGGAGGCTGAGCGCTAATGACTCAGGATCCCTGGCTTTGGAAAAAAGGGAAAAGGTGGGGGTTGAGAAAAGCTCCGGCGGTAGTGAAATAACACTCTAAAAGAGCTCATTACTACCAGGCAACCCTCTCTTCTTCTACTGTACATGCAGCTATCATTACGGCTGCATTTTTGGATATAATGACCTTGTGCTGCTACATGGCTGCCACGGGTTATATCCCTAATGGTCCTCAAGCCACTGTCGCTAAAAAGTAACACAAGTTAAGGACACACGTGCAAGCGCGCTCACACACACAAAGTCAATGACAGTATTTCCCGGGCCATCCCAGAAGGATCCAAAAGCCCTTGGCCGCGTGGAGTGTCTCGCCACCTCGGTCTGAGTGGTCAGAAATGTGTATGTAAATGTGTATGTGTGTATCATCCTATCAGACGTGTTCACATAGCGAGCCATATCGATGTGACACGGCGGAAAGCGAGGCTGATTGCGGGTGTTTTTTCCCCCCCCACTACTAACAGGGTGTTTGACGGCGGCGAGCGTGCTTTATGGAAGGTCATTTACATCAAGTTGGGCTTGATGTAAATTGGACGCGTTTCAATTGGCTATTAGATAACTCGGTTACATCACGGCTTCTGTGGGATCTATTTCCTGCTCCAGTGATCAAGAGCGAGGAAGGGGGAGAGGGAAAAAGAAAGGAGAGGAAGACGTTAAAAGAGAAAAGAAACTTCCACTTTCGGAGCTGAAAGGGTTAATTTTCTGTCTTTATATGTTAAAATTAGGATGATATGCAGTGAGGACCAGAAAATAGCAACCAACAGAGAAAAAGGAGTTCAAAAGCCTTCTGTATTCCCTTTGATGTGGCCGCTTGATCATGCAAGGGAGCAGCAACCAACTGTAATGTAAAAATACATTTCGGGTGACACATCCCGCTATTTTTCCTCGCTAAATGTGCCTCAGATCAAAGGAAGTACATAATTTTGTTTTTCCACTCAAACTTTAAGCGCTCCCAGGTCCACTGTGAATAATCCATTTTAAGACTTATTCACACTGTGTACCTTTCGGGGGCTGAGCAGCGGGGTTACGGGAGGTGGGAGGGAGCGTTTGTCTTCCTCCACTGTTTCTTCCAGTTTAGTCACGACTCCTCGGGAAGGCCGATGGATCGGCGGAGCGACCACCCGCCTGACCGGCGGTGCGCGCCGCGTCGTTTCCTATAACGCTGACGCGGGGAACAAAAGGAAGAATACATTGAATATTTCAGGAGCGTGTCTTCCCTCGTAATCTCTCTGTAGCTCAGGTGGAAGCGGAGTGTTAATAGTGTTGATGCACGTGTCCATGCATCAGCTCAGAGTATCCGACAAGCCCCGGGAATCTGAATAATTTATGTCGAACATGAAAGTAAATAGAATCGCTTGTATGTGTTGTTGCGGGAAATTGTTTCATTCCCCTGTTGTGTTTTTGAGCGGAGGGATGATGTCTTGTCAGTGCCAATCATTTTCAGGTTCACCCCCGCTCAAATTTTCGAGCTGATTCAAATATCTGTGCTCAATAACTCAATTTTCTTCTCCTACGACTATCCCAGCAAGGATTCGAACAAGAACAAGATACAGTGTGTTTTTCCAACCTTACAATAAACCCGATATCATCTCTCCCAGTTGAATATGTATGTGCAAAGATAAGGTAGAAAGTAATTAATTTTTAAATCCCCTTTCTTGCTTCTCTGTGTGCGTTCGTGCTTCTTTTCTTTGACTTTCCGGGGCAGGCCATTACTTTCCTCGGGGACACGCCGCCCTGTTACACCGGCGTCACAAGAGCTTTTCTCTGCAGGCATCTAAAAACGACATTGTTTCCCAGTGTGCGCACTCATGTTTTTAAATAAGAGCACGGATGCGAGAAGGAAACAGAGAAATGAGACGGCTAAGGTGTTGTAAAAAACCTCTGTGAATTGGCTGGAAATAGAAGAAATGCATATCTCAAAGCTGGGAGTCTCATTAAGCATCTGAAACAATAAATTAACTGAAAATAAACCTCATTAACAATTAGGAAACCTGCTCACTGTGAAGTTTACATCAATTCTGTTTGACTGTGTGGAGAAGAAATTAGGCGAAGATCAGAAGGGAAGGAAGACGCCCTGCTTACATAAGACAGCCAGTACTATTCATTAAAAAGTGGCGAATCACAAAGTGGCTGATTGAATTAAATAATAAGCTGCATACAGAAGTGCAACTGCTACCAAACAGATCTACGCATCAGCAATAGAAATGCAAATTTAGCATTAATTTAAAGGCAGCTAAAAAAAAACTGTTATTTTCAATCGACTGGTTAAAACTGAACTTTTGAAATGCGTGTTAGCATATTCGTCCGTCACATTAGTCTCTTGATTTTCTGTGTCATAGAGAGCAGCAACCCCTGGTGACTGGTTGCAGTATAGGTCACAAACCCTGCTTTAAAGGGATATTCCAGCATAAAATTAAATTAGGGTCAAACACACTATAACACCGAGTTAGACACCCCGTCGAGAGATGAATGTTGTTGACCGCTTGCTTCTCTAGTCCAGTGGTTCTTAACCCTGTTTGAGGTACCGAACCCACCAGTTTCATATGCACATTCACCGAACCCTTCTTTAGTGATAAATCAAATGTGATTTTTTTCCAAATTCAAGACATAGGTATATGATTTTTTACTGGTACACAAAATGAACCGTGCATGAACATCATCTTGATCAAAGAACAAAACCAACACAGTGCATGAACTCACAACAAATTACATACCTGCAAATCAGTGTGACTTCTGCTGTTGCTTTTGAGAGACCAGTTCAGATATGCGTGGCTTCACCTTGGCAAGTGCTACTCTCATGTCATTTTCACAGCAAAGTCTGTTCCTTTTCTTTGTTTTTATGTCCAGCATCCTCGAAAAAGATTGTTTGCAGAGATATGTTGTAACAAATGGTATAAAAAATTCCAGGGCTTTCTTAGCAATAATTTGGTACTTTTCCAACTGAAAAATCGTTTATATCAGCAGAAGACGTCGGATTTAAACAATTTCTGCCGACTTTGTAGAGTCAACTGCAGAATTAACGGCGTTCTGAATGAACGGGGCTTTGAAAAGTCCCGCAGCATGTGTTAGACGTCACCACTACGCATGGACCAATCAGGGGCTGCCTTTCCCTGTTGTCCGGGTAACAGTGGAAACACGGTCTCTGATTGGCCCGGTTATTTTCTGATCGGGAATACACGCTCTCTATGGGCCGAAGTCCAGACTGTGGTGGGAAGGAACATCAAGTGATTCACGCAACAGGATGGCCCAGCCAGGCTACCGTGGCGGAGGCTCCACCGAACCCCTGAGACCGACTCACCGAACCCCTAGGGTTCGATAGAACCCCGGTTAAGAACCACTGCTCTAGTCATACCAACTTTAGTAAAGAAAGCAATACAGAGAGCCACGCACTCAACCAAAACGCCACTCTATAGCCACAAATAATGCTCAGAACAGCACCTAACTTCATCAACAGTACATATAGGGTCCCAGCCACAGCACTAGCCACCAAACATCTCTTTAACTTTGCCTAATTTCTTTAGCAAAGATATTAAACACAACTCACCTACTCTCTTCCAGCAGCATCTTGTTTGTACAGGGGGATGCAGCTCAAGGAAGAACATGTATGATCATTTCCTCATGGAAAAAGCAATCAGACTGAGACGCTAAGGCAGAAGATCTACTGTGTCTGCAGTGCAAAATGATTAACATGATGACTATTACTTTAAGAAAATGAAAGAGTAATTATCATAAATGTTCTTCCTTGAGCTGCGTCACCCCCGCTGCAGTCGATGGACTTGCCTTGAGGTGTTCATATAATCAATCGGCTGTTAGAAGAGAGAGGGTGAGTTGTGTTTAGTCTCTTTGCTAAAGAAATTAGGGAAAGTTAAAAAGATGTTGTTGGCTAGTGCTGCGGGTGGGACCCTATATGTACCGTTGATGAAGTTAGGTGCTGTTCTTAGCATTATTTGTGGCTATAGAGTGGCGTTTTGGTTGAGCGCATGGCTCTCTGTATTGCTTCCTTTACTAAAGTTGGTATGACTCGAGGGTGTCTAACTCGGTATTACGGTGTGTTTGACCCTAACTTAATATTATGCCGGAATATTCCTTTAAATAAAATTCATATACATTTTTCCTTCCCCCTGGTTGTGATGTTGACTTCTAGCTATTGTTGGACTGGTTTGTACTCAAATCCTCTTTTTTATCATTTTTTTAAAAGTAATTGGGGTTTATAAAAACAGGAAATTACATCATATTTTCTATGACTGAGACCTGCATAGAGTCAATGGTAATATGAAGCTTGCATAGGACATTCAGAGGGTACGCTCAACAGCGACTCTGATGATGGGAGGCGGAGTCACGTTGTCCATTCTATACGCAGTCTATGGTTCTGCATATGCTCCGGTATTCACATGCTGGGCTGAATAGCATGGACGCATTGCTAAGATGTTAAATACAGTTCCTATGCGTCCTTTCCCAGAGAACTATTTTTTGCCATTTGTAAAAAGTCTGAGAAACTTCATCCAAAGAGTCTATGAGATGCAGTTACAGAGGGAGACGGATTAGTATGGAACCACTGAAAAGAAGCCACTTTACTCATCTGATGGGTTATTTAGCTCCGAATCCTGACAGTCTGGAAGCTGTCTGTGATGTCCAGTCCGTCAAAGAGAGGTGGTTTGAAAATGGCACTCAACGGAAAAAGTAAGCGACAAAAGGAAAATGTCAGGAGATTGGCAGTCTCAGCTAAAAAGGATTGCCATCAAGTCAGAAATCTTTCTTTTTTTTTTTTTTTTTTTTACTGCGGCGCATCAGCAGACACAAATGTGATACTAGGAAAGTCAATCTAAATTCTGCTATCACAGGCAGCAGTCCTTTCACCTGCTCTATTTACATTTCCTTGCATCACTTTCTCGCATTTTAAGTCGGAGGAACAGACACAAGAAAACGGAAAAGTGAGGGGAAACATAACGGACCAGTGTGTCACGGCTAACCGTGGTTTCAAGGTCCAAGGAGAGTAAAGACACCGGGCCTCATTAGTCTGTATGCAGAGAGAAAGTACTATTCTCACGTGGCATTTATATTTTAAAAAGTAACAACCTTTTCACAACCTTTTCAACCGAGCTGCTCTTTAGTTTTGTTAAAAAGTCCAAGAGAGACTGAATTACTATGAAACTGCTCTTAAATCCAACGTCTATCACCGGATTATAGACAAATTATAGAGATAACATCTTGAGAACAGGCCTATCTGCACATATCATTGCCTCAAAACTAGGGCCCAACCGATTTATCGGCAATCGGATTCAATAGGCCAATTGTAGCCCATTTGAGACTAATCGGTAATCTGCCAAAACTTGAAACGTCCCACCATTTGAAAAGTTCCCCGACTTATCCTGTAGATGGCGCAGCGACCTCATGACAATCTTCATCCACTAACTACCTCACAGCACAGCAGAGTGACGGATCTGCAGCAGGCCTCTCCGGGACGCACGGAGGAGAGTGGTCCGCCTCAACGGTAAATAAACCAGTTTGTGAAATACACAATAAGTCAACAAGTTTCAGTTTAACCCACTTCACGATGTTCCCCGCTGTGCTGGTCTCGGTCACGCCGAGTTAACGGTGAAGCACCACGTAATAGCCAAGCTAAAGTTAGAGTTAGCCATTTGCTATTAGCCTAGCTACACTGTTAGCCGTGCCAGTAACGGTAGAATAAGTCAAGTATATATATATATTTTTTATAACTTCATAAAAAATTCGTCTGATTAATCGGTAATCTGATTTTTTTCCCTCCCTAACAATCGGTATCGGCATCTGCCCCCAAAAATCCGTATCAGTTAGGCCCTACTCAAAACCCATAAAGCACTTCTTAAAAAACGTAAATCCTCTCTCTTTTGGTCTTGGATGTCATGAAAAGGCATCATTATGAGTTTCAGTCGATTTCGTCAACGTCAAAAACTCCCTATTTGAGCTGTAAACATTTTTTTATCTCTACTTTAAGACTTAAAAGCTTCTGAGCACAAGAAATGTTTATAACCTAAATATTGTTGATGGATGTTGAGAGAGAAAAATCCTCTCAAAGCAGCCTAGAGGTCACACCAAAATAAAGCAAAAAAACACCGGCCACTTAGCAGAGACAGAAAGCCAGGAAATACGAGATAACTTAATAACCTGTCCCTGTTGTGGTTTGCTTTGCTGTCAAGCATATGGCACTCTAAAGGCAATCTGGTATTCCTGACTGCCTGGGAGGCTAAATTCATATCTAACTGCCTGACAGACTGCCCCTGTATGGCTCTACTTCCTGTCAGACATCTGGTATTGTCTGGCAGCTACCTCTTCTAGCTTGGCTTCCTGGGAAGCTTTACATGGCATTCTGCTGCCTAACAGACTGCTTTTTTGTTTAGCAGCCTCTAGCTAGTATCACTTTGTACCTACTTCCTTAAAGGCATTGGTTTTAAAATGCAGCCCGGAAGGCCGGTTCTAATTTCTCTGAAGTCCCTGCCAAAATGCCTTGGCAGAATCTCCCTAAAGTGCGTGTTTTCTCAGCATGGAAATAACCCGCGTCACAACGGCTGTTCCTAAGACGAACTCCCTCTAAGTGTTCAAGAAGAGCTATTTTAGTTCAATTGAACAAAGATAGAGTAATATGAGTAACAGCCTGTTTGCTGGGATCCAGTGGTATTTTTAAATATGAAGAGGTCTAAGGTTTTTCTGAAGGCAGATGTAGGCGGGTTAGATAATAAAATGCAAACTAGTCCGTAAACTAAACAGATGAATCACCCACATCTTCCTTGATGGGAGAAATGATCAAGAATATGAGAGCAATCTCAGACAATTTGACCTTTGAAAGCAGTAATTACCCTACACTTGAGTGGAATTTAGACACCCTACTAATTCAGCCTGTCATAACCTTATGTTAGGAGAAGTTGGGACAAAGTAAGACAACAGATCAAATGCTGAAACTTTTTGCATAAAAGTATGGGCTCATTTCATATTTAATGCCAGCTTTGGTTAACCCTCGGCTTCGCCAACTCTGTCTATTCGGCATCATATGTTGCTCTAACACTTGTATATTTATTCTCCAGCAATGAAGAGCTGCAATGTCCATGATTTCCAAAAAGAATGTCAATAAATGTGTATTTTTTAAGTTGTTTTAAGCACATGCAGGGATTTCCACTACAGAGCCATGTCTAATTTTAATGTAGCATCACTGCTGGGCTTTGTCACTTTTGTTTTCCTTAAGAATTCCTGAATATTTTATATGATATTAACTACCACAGATAATAACAAAAATAATACAAAATAAAATTAATAATAATAATAATAATAATAATAATAAACTAAAAACAACGATAATAATAATAGTGATAAAAATAACATCAACAACAACACTAAAAACAACAATAATAACAACAAAAATGATAATAACTAATAATAATAATAATAATAACAACAACAGCACTAAAAACAAAAATAATAACAAAAATGATAATACAAGAAAACAACAACTTTCAATTCCTTTTAACTGTTTGCTCACGCAGTCTCTCACTGAGTGGTAAACCTGTCTCTAGATGTTAGAATGCCTGTTTTACACTCAGTCTAGTCACTATACTGCAAATTAACCTTATTAAATGGGATATGTTGCTGTCCCTGTCCGAATAGAGCAGAATGTGGCATCCATGATTTCCAAAAAGACTGTCAAGGTTTTTTTTCAAGGCCGTTTTGAGCCCATGCAGCAACTTCCACTACAGAGTCATGTCTATTTTTAATACAGTGTTGCCTGAGGGACACAAAATCACTGCCATTCAGGGTTAGTTTTCATAATATTCTCTTAACCTTTTGCTGGTAATAAAAACAAGCTGAGGATTGGATAATGCAGCGTCCATGATTTCCAAAGAGGATGTCATAGGCTGTGTCCGAAATGGATCCCTAACCCCTATATAGGCGATGATATGGGGGTTAGCGCCATTTTGAGGAGCGTCTGAAACCTGAGTGATCAATTCTAACTAGACACGGCAGTCTGAGCAGTGACGTCACAACGGTGCGCCATGTAGTGTCCAAAACCTCCGGTGATTGAGCTCACTACATAGTCAGCTATATAGTGAAACCCCATATGGGGGTTAGGGATTGAGTGATGGACACAGCCATACTCTGATTTGTCTGACTGACTCCAGGACAGGTTTCACTTTTGCCTGATTTCTAAAAAGGCTCCGGCCCAGAGAAATCCACGGATTTGTAGATCATTATTTTCTGTTTTTGTCAATATTTTTTTTCAGCATCCCAGCTTTTTTAGGCTTAGTATTGTGTACAGTGCTTATGGTTGAACCAAACAAAGTCTGGAGACTAGCATGTGTCAGCTGGATGACCTTAGCACAGCTTTTGTGGCATTTTCAAAGGCGGCGGCTGAATAAGTTGCGACCTTGCTGCAATGACAGTTCGTAAAGCATAATACCAGCATTTCAGATGGTTTCAAAGGTGTTCTGCCAATTGGATTCAAACGTCACCTCCCAAAAGGAACACAGGAACTGGCAGACTTGAAAGGCGATGGATTTGAATTGAAAGAGATGCAGACTGGCTCCTCGAGTTGGACTTCGGGCGTCGGTGCAAATGTTCAAGAGATTCAGTCGGACAAAAAAAAAAAACATGGCGAGTGCATCAAACAGTTTCAGCATCATGAGCAGAATCCAAGTCCACCTGAGTTGGTAGAGAAAGGTGTCTCCAGGAGGGAAAATAGTGGAACTTTTTCAGTTACAAAGCAGGAAAAATGGATATTTGACGGATATTTGGCAGGAAAGTTAAAATTCACAATGTCGGGTGGAGTTCAAGCTTCTTTTTCACTTCAGTGTGAAGTAATAGTATAATATAGTTTCTACTGATGAGAGAATATTAAAGAAAATTTATATCAAAGTCGAACCAAAAAGTCCAGCCCTGTCAAATTAAAGGTCAAATTTAAGGGGGGATTTCTGTCCAACTCTCTAAAGACTCCTATTCATTTGGTGGACTCCATCAAAGAGGAAAACCTGAAGTAATTTAAATTAACCCAGGTTACATGCTTCAAGCGACGCACCCAATGGGATTATGGCGAAGCTTCTCTGATGGATTTACTTGAGTGTGTCTGTGTGTGAGGGAATATTGAGCTTTCAGCAGCCAGATGTCTGCGCAGCAATCCCTCAGCACAATTACCTTCAGACATCTGGGACCTATAAACAAAGCGAACAGACTCCGGCTTTGTCTCTTCGTCTTTTTTCTTTCTTCTCCTTTATCATTATCTTTATGTTTTCATCCCACAATGCTTATTCTTCCTTTTGTATTTCTTTTTCCCCATCTCCTCCCCTGCATGGAAACACTCATTTATCTATCCCTCCCTGCTTTGCTCCCATGCCCAAACACATGCATTTAACTGTCTTCCCCCCTCTGCTCTACCTCCTCTGCATCTGCCTCTACATCTGCACATACATACTCAATCCGACTCTCTTTTTCTCTCCCAGCTGGTGGCCACCTTGCTTCCTCTCTCACCCTCCTCTCCGTCTTCTCCTTGTGTTTCTCTCACTTGTCACTCCTATCCACTCTTGTCAAAACATCACCTCCTCCCTAGGCACTGACAACTGCAGAGCCTATTTGCTATTCAAATAGTTTTTTTTTTCTTTTTCTTTTTTCACACATCGTCACCTGGTGCGTGCATGTATTTGCGTGTTCGTCGAATACATCATCATGCAAATGTTGTTTACCTGGTAAAGAGTGTCGGGTGAGTTATTTTAAAAAATAAGCCATTGGAAAAAAAAGAAAAAAAACCTCCATTGCTTTACATATTACTCTACAATACGACTCCGATTATTCAAATGTGGTTTCTAAAGAACTGCTACACCTACACATTTGTTTGTATTTCAAAGGTGTACCAACACAAACGGGAAGCCTACTGTATATTTACTGACTCCTTTCAGCTCCTTAAACTCGTCCTTACTTTGAACTTCACACACCCTTAAAGCTTGAAAAACACAACCTGTCATGCGAGTAGGTTTAAGGTCAGAGCAGGATTTTCCCAATGACAGAAGTTGTCACATATAAGTTCAACCCTAGTATCCTTTACATACCTGTACTTTTCAAGTTGTGATGACACAAATGTATCTGGTACAACCCCAAAACCAATAAAAGTAGTTCACTATGTAAAATGTTGCAGATTTCAAGAGTTTGTGAATTATTTAATCTCTTAATTTGATTGGAAATTTGACAAAAAAATGGCAAAAAACTTGAACTCTTATTTTTGGTGCAAATTTTAGATTTGCTGCCAACATGTTTAAACATCGTTGGAACAGAAGTGTGTTTACAATAGTACAAGTTATGGATTTTAGTGTAAAATGTTGCCTCTTTCTTGTCCGATATTAGATTCCAGTTGTTTAACAGTTTAGGATCTAATTTGTCAGATTTCAATGAGCTGTTAAGCACCAACTGTGAATCGTACGTCAGCCTGGAATTTCAGTAAGTTGGTCACAGACATTTCGTCGCTGTCCGATGAAAAGACATACCTCCACTTTTAGTGATCTGGACTTTTTTCAATACATGCATGGTTCATAATCTTCCCTAACAACCCGTAGTTTTGGGGATCCAAATGACCGATGGAAAGACATTTTATGACATCATTTTTCGACAAGTATCTCCAGTGGGTGTCAGAAGTGTCGACAAAGCATGTATCTCCCTGCGTTGTCATGCCAGCAAACAGACTTTACACAGTGGCAGACTCATTACAATCCAGGGTAATGCTACACTAATGTCCTCACATCGACTGATGCCGACCTAAAACTATTTTCTAATCATGACAGTGTTGCTTACCTGTACGCTAGATTTCGTGAGCCGAAGTTCACTCGCAGAGGCAAAACTGCTACTGTTTTCTCTCTCACACTCGCTCACGGACTCAAGTGCATGTTTAACTGGGAGTCACGACTCATAAAGGTGAAAATGTAGGCTAGCCCACTCTCAATAGTTTAATAGTCAATAGTCTATCAACATAGTGGGACATTGCCATTACAATGTGAGTTGTGAGTCTTCTCTTTAGAGAGAAGAATAGGGCGTCCATGATTTCTCATAAGAATTGCAAATGTGATTTATCTGCCTATAGGACAGTTTTCTATTTAGCCTCAATTTAAAATGGACTCCGGCCCAGAGACGTCATAGTTAGGGATTTCTCCTTGCATGGTACAGTTTTAATTTGCTTAAGCAGATGTAGCAACAAACAGCATTTTCTCTACTTAATGTCAGTCACGATTTGTTAGACACTATTTTCTGTGCTGAAGCACCATAAGACTTCTAACAGAACAAATGCAAACATAAGAAATCATGTCGAGTCAGGAGACTGCTTCCTTTTTTTCTTGTTTCGGAGCAATAACCTTGTAGCTTAAGTGTTTATTTGACATAAGTAATCATACAGCTGGGGTGTTATTATTGTTGAAAGCTCGCAGTAATTGCCTTGGCTCCAATTTAAACATTTATTAGGGGAATCAAAACAAGGGCAAAGGAACATTTGGTCCAAGATAGGAGGCAAATCAGACCGATTGTTTTAAAAACAATATACCATTCTAGCCTCAGGAAATTGGTTCACTTGCAAAACCTGCTGAAAACGCGTGTCATAATTTGATATCTGTGAGTATTATCTGGTAGTCGTGCAGTGAACGACATAATCAGATGGGGCAGAGTCCGAATGTGATGTTTGAAAGGCCTTAAGTGTAGGAGAGGGGCTCCAGGCAAGCGTGTCCTGTTTGTTCCCTAGCCGAGGCTGGGATAAATAATTTCTCTCAGGCAGGAGGCTCCAGCGCCTTGTGATGATTACTGGAGCCAAATGAGTAAACGAGGCTCGGGAACGTTTACCACGGCCCAGATAGCTCAGGTAAGCTGTCACAGCTATCTAAATAGGGCCGAGTGGGGGAAAGTTGGTGTGAGGTACGTGTTTTAGTCCTGAGGATAAACAGAGGTGCAGAGGAGGCTGATTTAAGGGAATAAAGGTGGGTGGCAATGTGTGGTTAAACAAGCTCTCCCTAAGAGTTATACAATTTACAAATATTGCATTTTTATCGTCAAGGAATCAAGTGATTTATCAGTTTAAGGTAATAATATTGTGGTAAGATTCACCGCATTTCGAAAAAGAGACCAGTTCTGTTTGCCTATTATCTTCAGGAACAGGCACTTACTGAAAGCATTTGGTGCCATGATATGTTCTGTTTATTTAGTTTTCTTCACCTGATTTTATTTGAGTGTATTTTTTGTATTGTCTCTCGTGTTCCTGTTCCCCTGTAGTCCAGTCTTGTGAGTTTTCAGTTTGTGTTTGACCCTGTTTCCATCCTGTTCTCTGTGTTATTGTATAGGTTAGTTTTTAGTGTTTCCCATTTTATTTCATAGTAGTCGATTCCTTGTGTTTCTAGTCTAGTTTTACTTCCCTAGTTTTCCCTCCTTCGTTAATCACTAACGAGTTTCACCTGTGTCTCGTTTGCCTCACCTGTTGCTCGTTACCCAGTGTGTATATAGTCCCTGTCTTCCCCTCTGTCCTTGTTGGTATGCCTGTGTCCCCAGTTACTCCCTGTGATTTTGCCCTGGTAATTTTTTGTGGATGTTTCTCTTTTTGTTTGTTTTTTAAATTTGTTCTTTTGACATAACTACTTTTTTTTGTTGTTCTGCATCTTGGGTCCTTTCCCTTTATTGTTGAACTCTAGACCATGACATTTGGTGCATCATGGAACATCGCAGCTGCAGAATACAACTGTACAATGCAAAAAGTTAAAAACATACAAAAATGATCCAAATATGACACTCCTTTTGAAAATTGTGGATGCAACTCTAAATCGGCGAGGAACCTGCTAACCCAGCATTCATGATGGTATGGCGAAGTCAGCGAAGGTACCATTTATAGTGTCCGAAATGCTTTGGTGCAAAATATTAAAGTATAACTATCAAAAACACTTAAAACTTTGAGACTAAAGGTTTTTTTGTGCTGTTATTTCGGACATCAATATCATTTTCAAACCCGTATTCTGTCATTACAAGCGTTCACATCAGCAGCGTTTTACCATCCTGCGATATTGCGGCACTTATTTTTCGTATCACAGTCAAATTTTCAAAAGTTACACATACTGTATGTCCACTTTTGACCAATCAGATTTCGTGTTGTTGCAACTTCAGATTCACCAGTATATCTAACATGGCCGACCGGCTGATTGTTTACGTGTCGGAGAACAGAGTGCTCTTTGATAAAAGACACAAACATTACAAAGAAACTTGTGGAGAGTCATAGCGTTGGTTTTCTCATATGACGATGGTTTGTGTGCTTTAACAGTTTGCTAAACATCTTTGTTTTAACTTTCATCTGTGCTAAGTAACTTTAGCTCGTAAGCTAACCTGTTCAGATACAACATACCATATGTATTTTCACTGTCTCAAACTCAATGGCGTTGCTGTCACAGCACCATTAGGTCTCGGTTGTTACCTTATGTTTATGGATTATAGTTTAATGTGCTTATCTGGAACTGGCCCCCACTCAGTACATGCTATCATGACAGACAGTCATCTCAACATTAGTGTCTAATCAGAACTGAAAAACAGTCAGTCTGCTGTTGTGTCAGTCTTTCCGCTTCCACTCGGGACGCGTCTTTTTTCCCCCTGGAAAGTCGCAAAATCACATCGCGCTTTATGTGTGTAGTAAGGCGCATCAAAATCCGCCTCTAAATATTTCATAAATTCACATCGTATATTTGCGTCATTCCCGGTGTGTAAGGAACTTAAGGAGGAAATGTTTTTGAGAGATAAAAATTTTCACAAATTTCCATGTTTGTCGTGATGAGACAAATGAGTATTCTTTAGGCATCCTCTGATACCTTGATTTATCCAAGATGCAAATTATAGCAAGTCCAACACTAAAAGCACCTGTGGAAGCTCCACCCCTGAAATCCCTGTCAGTCTCACTAAGTAGGAACCTCAGTAGGAAACACATGGAGTCCCTCATACATCCCTTCTTTGGAAAAGTGCCTTCCATGAGCTCACAGTTTGATTTAATTTACAAGAGGTTTCATTGAACATATTTATATAACTTATAATCAAAGCTCTTAAGGAGTCATTTGACATACTCCACTCCTGAGTTCATGAACCCTGTTTCAATGGTTTGCACTTCCTCATCTAAGTGACCCTTTCCCCTTCCGATCTTCCAGTGTTTTGCAGTGAGAACACAGCCCTCCATATGTCTGTCCTTCCTCTTGCTGTTTATGTTTATAGCTCACTTGCAGTATAACAGATTGAGGTGCAAGGGGAACTCAAGGCCCAGGAGATGACAAACAAAGTCATAACAGGAGTGATAGAAATGTAAAAGGTTTGGAGCGAGTCAATGGCTCTCTCAATTTTTCACAGAATCATAAAAAAACGCGTTCTGTTCGACTTCACAGCTCTGCTCTCCCTCTCCTCGATATTATTGACCCAGCTGGTCCCTGCTGGCTCTCTGAATACGGGACGAGGCTTTTCATTTATTCTCGGACACTGTGGAGAGTCCTTGAACTGCTTGTCCCTGTCATGTGCACTCGCTGGTGGGACCGTTGACCTTGTGGAGCAACTCAAGCGTGGCTCTTGGCATATGTAGATCCCTTCGCCAGGGGCCCTCTTGTCACAAAGCATCTCACAGAAATGCTAAGCTAGAGTCGCTGGAAGGGTTTGGATCAACAAACGGAAAGTGATCCATGTAACCGATGAGGATTAAATTCTTTGAATCAAAAATTCAGAAGATTATTTCTGGCTGGTTTGGCAACACCTTTGAAACAGTTTGTAAATACAGGAAAGACTCGCTGAGTGTTCAATCTGTCAAAAGTACAGCAGGGTAGCATCTGGTGTGGTTGTCTGTTTACAGTGCAACCAAACAAACTCAAACTGTTTCTAATAAAAAGTCCATTTAGCAGAGCTGTGCACATGTCTTTACTTTTTAGGCATAAACAGTGTACATAACCTACAAATATCTTCATTTGGCCCTTCACAATAAAAGCACGGGCAGTGGCATTTGCATAAGAGTAGCCACGCAGAGCTAATGAGGGTAATTTGACAGTCCCATCGCAATAGACAAGTAAATGTAGAAGAAATAATGATGTATTATCACTGATGATAACTAATAATTACGCCTTGTCAGACAGTCAATGGAGCCTCGACTCCAGAGGGAGATTATGCAGTCAAGTGGCGTCTATGCAGGGCCGGCCAGACAATGGCAGTGGGGGTGTTGACATCTCTGTGAGTGACAGGCTAACTGGGGTTTATCAGTTTGATCCATGTAAAATGTGGGGGGATTACATGACGCGTGCTGTAATCCTGTGGGCAGGCTTAATCCAGACCTCCCTCCGCCCCCCTACCCCTACCAACAAAAGCAATTTGAAGGGAGACAGTAACTAAATCAAAATCAAATAAATGGTGATTGGAGGAGAATGCTGATACTGCGGCGTCTAAAATGTTCTTCATTTCAGTAAAATTGGACTTGAAAGGATACGAGTGCCAAGAGATTCAGTCTTGGCCTTTTTAAGCCTCTAAAAAGCTAGCAAAACATCAGCAGTCTGTGATTCCCTACCTTCATAATAGTTTTATCTTGATTGCACAGTTTGATATTGACCTGGTCTCATTGGCAAGGTATTGGACCATTCTTGATAATCTAGGAAAAGTGCCCTACTATCTCCAGGGGCCCTGGTCTTGGCAGAAACTAGAATCTGATATAGGCCGCTGATGAAGTATTGCGTATTGTTTTGGATCATTTCCTTGCTCTTGAAAAGGTTCTTGGCCAATACACGAACTCTTAATTGTCAAGTTAGGTTGCTGGATTCAGTATCCTTACGCAGAAGTTTGTAAAGTCAAAATAAATATAAGCATCACATTAAATTTTGAATGACAAAGGCGTCTTTGCTTGGGTTGAAATGTGCACCCCATCCGCATAGGCCACCAGCCCTGTCCAATGGATGGCTGTTTGTGACTCTTGAACTTCACCATTTGGTGCGTGATTGCCTCAACCACAGATATGACCACAAAAATACGACATGCCCCTTTCAGCAGCATGCCTACGGTGAGGTAAAGCTAGTGGGGGCATTGTTTACATTAAAGGCCATGCATGTAAAAAAAAAAAAAAGGTTTAATACAATGTTCCGTAGTAGTAGCACGTGTTTTGGCGTTGTAGATCATGTAAACAGTTTGAGAAATGAGTAAGTTATGGTTTATTTTCATTTTACTTGCATTGCCTTTAATAGAAATGTTGCCCTCGCCAAGATGGCTGCCATGTAGGCTAGTTGCTTAATGGGCTGCTACTGCACGCTGATGTATCCAGTCTTCTTTATATATCTTTGGCCTCGACTATTGACCATCCCCTTGACTAACTTGACTATTCAATGACATTATCAAGGTTTTTCCTTGACAATGACATGAAAGGGATCAAAATCTGACTCAAGGCTTAATAAATAACGGAGGTGTCATGCATGAGGGGATAAACAGGATAAAGCAATGATTTGACACAGGATATAGCCGCTCTGTTTTTAATGCAATTAATATTCAAAGAAGTGTGTGCTAACTTAATACCGGTCTCAAAATACAATCATTGTCACCCCAAACTGTCAATAACTGTCAGCCAGCCACACTGATGAACTTCAGCTCCCGCCTTGAGTCCTGACAGGCTGATTGCTTTTTGGACTAAACAGCTTGAGGCTGATTGCGGCTCATATTTGAGGACGACCACAGGGACGTGGCCCAGGTATCTCATTGCTGAAACAGGAGAGTGAAGCTGTCAAGGTGTGACACATGAGCTAATGACCTTTGACCTTGGCTGTGCATTAGAGTGAGGGGGCTGCGGAGAGGTAGAGCCCCATTCAAGGAGCTTTGAATGCATTTGGCCTCCTCCTGACTTGGAAATGAAGAAATACGACTCCGCCGCAAATCCGCCCGCTCCATCTTGATCAAATATTTTATTTCCCCACCCATGTTTATAATGTGTGCCTTCTTTCTTCATATAATCCCGCAGGCCAGTCAAGATTTGCGGCATTAAGTAGACAATTGTTTGTGGAATACTTTCACATAATCCCATGACCCACTTTTGGTCTTTGCAGAACACCATCATTGAATTCCTTTATATGGCTTCATCACAGGCAGAATAAATTTCCATGTTTTAATGTAAATGTGAACTCCTGAGAGCTTTTTCTAAAGAGATGATTCCCATACAGCCACTCAGCACAGCGATGACTCGCCTGGTGGGTGAGAAAAAGCACGAAGCCGGCCTGACCCTGTTTATTTTAACTGATGAAAATGCAGGTGTCTTTTAGATGCCAGGGATTGCTGGTAGAGTTCATTTCAGGCCTCCTGTAGCATTGATAAATAAATTCAGCGATGATATTGTTGGCGTTGTTTAACACAGCGGTGTTTGGATTGGGTTACAAGAAGATGTTCCCGTGAGAACTGCTCGATGGCGATGCGACATGTTGGCACGAGTTATGTTTAGACTCAAAACATAGATCCAGTTTCAAAATATTCAGAGAAACCAGAACGAAGAAGGGCAAATCTTTTTTTCTTCATATTTCACTTTAAGTCGAGAGATAAAGTGTCCTTGTTTGGCGTGGCTTTTTGAGTTTACACTCAGTTAATGAGTTTATTTCCATCTCAAGAGTGGACAACCTGAACTCTCTTCAAATAAAAGGATGGTGGGATTCTTGGGAACAGGATGGAAAATGAAAGAGTTTGAAGTTTTTGCCATCTCCCTCTTGAGACACGGGAAACAACATCAAACTCCTGTGTCATGTAAACCTCTTCCAGCTGAAGTCTCTTTTTGTGTTTAGAGCAGGAAATGAAAGTATGTTTGTTTCTGTCAGTTTGATTAAATGGTGACGTATGAGAAACCAAAGCAGAGTTGGTAAAACACCTGTCCACAGCTTTTATTTGCGGATAAACCAAGCGGTTTTGGATTAGGCTCAAACCAAACCAAACTAAACTAGCAGGGTATAATGTAAACTTGGAGAACTCAAACTGTTTCTAAAAAGCTCAGAAAGGTTTTTCAAGGATACCTGCCTTCTCCTCTGTATTAGGAGTCAGAATATAAGATTTTCAACCCAGGATCAAGATTAAGGAACTTTTTATTCACGTCACCGCCCATGTGAGAGGAACTTTTTTCAACTGCTTGTGATTCTGCATTTCACCTATCCTTTATCATTTAAAAGGGGAAACGTAACAATGGCTGTTTTTTTAGCATACAGCATTTGTTAAATATTACAATATAGGAAGAGTCAATCCTGTCCTTGATGGTCGCATTTGAGATGCATCATTGTTTCTAAAATTTAAAGAGACATTAGCATCTGGCTGCTAAATGTTAATCAAAACTACGACTTCATGACGACTTTACAAAGATAGTGTTGAGGTTTGAACAACTTTTAAGTCTCATTTTGATACATGTAGCTCAAACGAGTTTAAATGTCTGTGAAAGCTCATTAGCAATACGCCTCTGAGTCGTGGGCGGAGACAGCACTGCTCTGCACACTCTTCTTCATGTTAGCTTGTAGCCTAACATTGCCGGTGTAGTAGAAGTAGCAGGGAACATTGTAGCTATTCAGCTCTTGGACACTAATGTCTTTGGGGACACGATGGAAGCTAATATCATGATTAGCTTTCTTACGAGCATTGCAATCCGCTAACGCACACGTTTGTTCCGCTCTCTATTGCTCTGAGCCTGGCTTGCATAGTAGGGCTCCGGGGGGCGGAGCTTGGATTTGTGATGTAGGAAATCTCACTCTGCCTGAGCCTGCCGTTTGGGTCTGCCAGAGATTCACAGCAATTTATATGCAGAAATACCCAGAAATGCAATTTTGCACTGAGTTTTCTAATGGTATGTCCTGTAGCTTCACAAATAAATGCTATATGAACATGTAAACAAAAGGAAAACGTGATTTTCATCGGAGTGGGTCTTTAAGGGTTCAAATAGCCAAAAACAAAAATAAAAATCTGGTCCACTAGACTAAATTCTTATTAAATGCAGATAAGGAGAGTGAAAAGAACTGATTATTTTGGGGAAAAAAAGCTCTCTTAGTGGATCATATTTTACCTCTTTCAAGCTTCTATGCAACTGTGTGTACTATCTAAGTGAGCTTTAATACACAAACGGCTACAGTGCTAGATTTCATCTCAAAACTGCATTATATTTAGCCAACTACAGCACCTGCGTTTCATTTACACCCCCGCCAAGATCTACAACAGGTAAATGGACACCATGTGTTTGATTGTAATGCACACTTCCTGGTGATACCAGTTATGCTCCTTGATCCACCGACGGGGACCATCCGTCACGTCGGAGCAGAAAAGTGAAAGCAGATAAGTGTCGAAAGGGTCTGACTGGAAACAGACTCGGCCGGGCCCATATGGCCTCGTAAAGACTACGGCCCTTCACTGTAAACACTTCCCAATTTTAGAACGCTTAAGAGCTGACAGTAAGCAGACGGCGGCCTCTGTGCCGCAGAGCTGCGCAGAGCAGAAAAGATCCCACTATGCTGCAAAGGAATCCCACTTCTATTAACTTCTACATCTATTCCTTTCACTCTTTAACAGACACGGCGGCCTCCCTTGTGTTGCGATGTTTCACCTCTGTGTCATCTGTGCGTAACACTTTCGCCTGATAAGAATATATGAGGAGGATCCCCTGAGTGGTGGTAGTTGAAAGCAAAAGGTGTCAGCTTTGGAGAGTCTTCCTTTAAAAATACTCCACATAAAAGCTTTTTTACTCCCAATTCTACTTGAAGATAAAGTCACAAACAAACAGCATCTCCCACTCCTGCACAACTCCTATTGTTTCTGCAAAAACACATTTCACACATGCTTTCACCCCCTTACTGCCCATTAGACGGCGCATTAGAGAAGCTCCAACTCCCACAAACAAGCCAGAGTGAAAAATGAGATTTTGACAGAAATTGGTGGCTGTTTGCACCGTCGGGGAGCTTCTACACTTTCTCGAAGCACTTTCATACAGCTGGAGCATTAGACGTAATTTTGTCCCTCTGTCCAGTCATAGCAGGGGTGGTGTTTAAGTTGTGTTACCTCTGACTTTTTCGCAGATGCCAGGCTGAGCTACTTGATTTCTAAAAGCCGCGTTGAATGGGATTTGCAGCTCTTAACTCAATCAGTCTGACCTCTCATGTTTAAGTGAAAAAGTTCAACCTGGAAATATTTTGTCAGGACAAGGTCTGAAAAAGTAGCACTTTGGTCTGAAGGATATCTTTAATAATTTTCTTTTTTTACAGTCTTAGCTGGATTTGATTCTTGCAGACCATTAAACCTCAAACATTTAAAAATCATTTCACAAATATCTCATATTTTTCAAAGCTTGCATCCTTCCTCGGATGATATTAAACGACTAACTGGTACAGGCGCTTCACACACCGGTTTTGACGTACAATTTTTTTTTTTTTAATTGAATCATAAATTATAGAATATTTGCCTTAGATTGAGCATGAATAACATCAAAAGAGAAAAAAATAACACAATTTCAAGGTTAGAGGCCATTCTATATCAATTCAAACATTTCTAGTAAAGAAAATAGGCGTAGGGCTCTATTGTCTGTAACAAGTTTTAAGGATTTACAAAAAAGTAGCAGCTCATTCTTCCAGTGAGGTAGGCATGGTCTTGTTTTAAAATATCGACACTTGTGAATGAAGAACTTCCCCAAAAGCAGCAAAGCATTTAGAGCAAAATCCAAGTTCCTATCCTCGTTAAAAACACCAAACAAAATAGTTTCTGCTGGCAAGGGGAATCAATGTTTTTGGACTGCAACCAGGGGCCTGTTCGACGAAGCAGGATTACTGCTTAGCGAGGTAACTTCGAGGGTAAATTCGGAGTTTCCTGTTCTACGACGCGGGTTCACTTCCTTGCGAGGCGAGTGTCCATGGCAATGTACGCTGAATGGCTAACCTGCTCCGGGGCAGGTTAGGTTCCAGATTGAACTCATCGGGTATAAAATGGCATCAAAGATTTTTTGCGCACTATACTTCCGCATTAAGACTGTCAGCAATTTTCTGCCAGCATTCCTTCTGAGCTTTTGCAGCGGCGACGGTGTTGCTTTTAAGGTTTATGATAGATTTGAATTCTTCATACTTTCTCATGATCGTCTCCTGCTCCTCGTTTGTAAAGTACGCTGTCCTTCGCTCTCCGGCCTGCTCTGATGCTCCAGACTGGTCCATGTTCGCAATTGGTCAGATGTGGCGGTCTCCGCCTTACAAGCGTGCACGCGCTCATAGCAAAGCTGGATCCACTTACGAGGTTGATAACCAGCGTCGTAAGACTGTTTAGCGAGACCGCTGGGTAACGCGCTAAGTTGAGCGAGGTAGCTCCAAGGCTACCTCGCTCGGTTGAACTTGCTTCGTAGAACAGGCCCCAGCTCTACATGTTACTCCAGAAGGGATGTACCGCACTACAGTGAAAAAAAAAAAACATGACACAGGTTTTCAACGTCCACATCACAAAACACACAATTATTTCCTTCAAAGTTAAACCTTAATCTTAAAAATTCGTTTGTTGGATAGATTTCGTTCAGGATTTTGAAATGGACTTCTTTTGCCTTGGGAGGTAATGGCAAGGAGATATAATTCTTTCTTATCTTTTTAATTTTATCCAGATCAAATTGCTTCAAAATACACATCCTTTTAGTTGGGCTAGGGTAATATTCGTTTACCAACATATTGCTGAGAGCTTTGTTGTTACATTTGCGATCACAAAAGTCTAACCTCCCAATGTAGAGTTGTCTCAATCTTTGGGAGACTGTGGAATATCAAACATCTTCTCTCACCATCGCCCTCAGAGAGATTGGTATTGCATTCATCATTTTTGTATATTCCCATTGTCATCTAACAAGTGAGCAACAGCCCAGACTCCTTTTGAATTCCATTCATCCTTATAAACTGAATTTCTGTTAATCAATATGTATCTATTATTCCAGATTGGTGTATTGTGTGGAGTAAAATTATGACAGTAAAGTAATTTCCAGTAGAGCAGGGCTTGTTGATGAAAATCAGAGAGTTTAACCGGGAACAATTTGCATTCAAAATCACATTGTAGTAAAAAATCTATTCCACCCAGTTTTTTTGAAAACCAAATTAGGAACAGTGAACCGAAATGACTCCCTATTTGAAAAGATTTCAGCCATTTTAGTTTTAAGACGCAATTCATAACAACAAAATCAATCACATTTATACCCCCGTCTTCATACATTTTAACCACGTCATTATTTCTTATATATTAACACCTGTTCCTCCATACGAATCTAAAATTTATAGTATTTATCATGTTTCGACTTACAAGTCTTCTTCAGTGTGTGACGGTACAACAGGAAGTGACACGTTTCACACATTATACAATATAAACATCACTGACATAAAAAAATATATAAAACAGTGATATCAAATATACATCATAAAAAAATATACAAAGAAGTGAAGGTAGTTTACATAAATTTTTTAACAAAACCCAAAGATCAAAATCGGTGCCATCAACTATTTATTTTTACAAGTGTTGCTGGCTTTTTAATTAATTTATTTTTTATTCTATTTTATTTTATTTATTTATTGTTTCCATGTACCTCTTATTTTTCTACAGATATTTTGAGTCTGCATGTTTTATTATTTTTTTTAATTTTTGAAATTTTTTTGGTCCATTTTTTTCTTTGTCTCCCATCTCAAGCCTTTTCCTCCTTATTTTCCTTAACCTAGCTTCAATCATGCTAGATCCGGCCTGGGAATTCTCTCATGTTAGGTAAAACCGTAATCTGGTTGGGAGGCCGATTCCCAATGACGCAACTCAACGAGCTTTAAAGCTAAAGTCATGGGACTGGCTCAAAAATATCAGTGGTAGATGATGTACAGATATTAGTGTTGAAATATTCATGGAAGTTTAATACTGAGGGTTTTCATCTGTTGCATCTGCCTTGCATCATTAGCAGCGTTGAGCACGAACTTCCTTTCATCGCCCTCAAAAGTGTTGTTTTAGAGTTAGCCCCACCTACACCAACGATAATGTGTTGACTAATTTTTTGTGTCTGGTTTCAAAATAAGACCTTTTTGTTGTGCTTCAAAGGGGTCTTGTTACTCCAGGTTTCAACTTAGTGACTGTAAATATGCTTGGTGTTTTGGAAACACATTGAACATTACATGCTGATGAAAACTTGAGTTTTGATCCAAGTGTGTGGTCCCAGCTGATCTAATTTTTGACATTTTGCATCAAGAAACTCATGTTTCGTGTTTGATCCTCTATAAAATGTACATATAAGGCTTTTGTACCTCGTGCATCATTAACTCTAACTTTGATGTCTCGCCATGAAACAGAAAGTTGATGTCACTCTGTCATACAATGTTCAATCTTCTTGAAATTTCATAATCTTGGTTGAGGGCGGACCCTGAACACATCAGTATACAAGTATTTCATTTTCACTCATGTTTGAAGTGCCACCTGGTGCAGCGTCTAAGGCTACATTCATACTGCAGGTTATGATGCACAATTCGGATTTTTTGTTAAATCCAATCTTTTTTCGCCTGTTTGTTTTGTCGAACAACAGTGACATTTGTTGCATATTGATGACGAATAGATCGGATGAACACGCCTGAGCGTCCACACTGCAGTCACATCAGATACATATCCGATTTATATCCACATACAAAAGAGGCCTGGGTCAGATTTGAAAAAATCAGAATTGCACTGTTCACACTTACATGAAAACATCAGATAAGTGTCACATATGGTTAAAAAGTCGGAATTGACCCGCAGTGTGAACATAGCCTAAGCTTATAAGCTTAGCCAAGTTTCAGTACAATGTAAAACATTATACATTTGTTGTATTTTCTATCTAGCTGTACTCCTCTAAATGTGAAATTATCTATATTCAGATTGTAAAACTTCTGAGTAAATCTTCCCTCTGAATGACCCACAATTAGTCTGTGAGTCAAGTCCAATAAGACCCCCAAATATTTTGCAATAGCTGCCCTTGTAAACTCGAGTCGCATCTTCAAAAACACTTCTAAGACGTACTTTGATCTTATTTCATGTCTTTATTAGTCATGACGACAGGCATCAGAAATGCTCTCAAATGTATAGCTCAGTTTCACCAGACAAATGAGCGAAACACAACCCTCATGACATCAGTGTCCGTTTCGGCGTCGCCAGATTTTGTTTTGTGGATGATTCAGAGGCATGAATCCTCCCTGGTTTGGTATTTCCTGTGAACACTGTGCTCCCATTCATAACCCAATCACTTTGATAGCAGCCCTCCTCTGTAGTCTCCATGACCTCACTCGAGAGTTTCCCCCCAAATCACTCCCAGATCAAAGACTGCGATGCTTGATCCTCTGATAATAGTGCAAAGCCTCCAGAATCTCAGATCAGACTTAGACTTTGTGCCCTACTTGTTTCATCCCCCCACCCTCCTTCCTTTTTTTTTTTTTTCATTTCACTGCTCAGCGAATTGCCATCCTAAGTAAAAAGAAAAAAAAAAAGCATTTTGATTCCGTACAAGAGACATGCCGAAAAAGTCAAAAGAGGGTGAGCACTTAGCGGAGTAATGATGCCATTTAGCATCGCCACTCTCCCAGTTTGTGTGACCTAGATAGGGAACGACATGAGCAGACTGTGGCGACTGGAGCCGCTTCCATTTGCAGAAACGCTGATACATTTCTGCTCAGATATCCTGTCAAACACAGTATGCAAATTCATTATTTATTTTTTTTTTACTCCTTATAAGAAAACACCTGACGGTCTGTGTTGTATTTAAGGATGCGCTTTGGTGGCTCGGAAAAAGTTTCAGGAGCAGGGAAAGTTCTTGTCGTGGCACGTTTATCTTGCAGTCGTCATCTTTCCCCCTTTGTTTGTCACTCCTGTACATATATTTGAGAATCAGATTATAGCTGTTTGTTTATTATTAGATGCTAATCCTCCAACTAGACACACTGTCTGATTGCGGCGTAAAGATGCTCCGACAAGGACAAATTCTCCAAGTGGCCGTCCTCATCTTGTCGTTACATATTCATGACCTGGTATTTTGGTCTTCATCAGCATGAAGACATATTGAGATGATGACAAATTGGCTTGAATCCATAAGCACACACACACGCACACAGACAGACAAACACACACACTCCTGGGAGTCCGCGAAAGAGGGGGGCGATCCAAGGGCATCTTCTCGTCCCAGACGCTCAGTATAGTCCCACAAATCTGCCTCTCTCTGCACTTTCTGCATAATTCCCCCCACTGCTACGCCTCCGAATGACCTGCGTGATCGCCATGAATATCAATGTCACGCGTGTCGGGCTGCGTCAATTAGGCTCGGTTTGATGCATGTCGCCGGGGTGGTCGTTTAACAGCTCTACCAGCCTGAGGAAGCGGGGGGAGAAAGATGCACAAGTTGGATACTGCTGGCGGATGCATTTATGTCACCTTAAAAAGCAATGCATTAGCCTCTTTGAGGAATGTTGGAGGATTAGAGGCTCCTTAGACCGCCGGAGAGCTCTGCTCTGATCTAAAGCGACTCTGTCACTGTCATTTTCTGCAAATTTAATCATTATTTTGACCTCCTGTGCAATCATAACAGCACCGATTGGTTACTTTGTGTTATCTTTGTGACTTTCACAAATGAGCCAAAGTGAAAAATTTGATTTCGACAGCCAAGTTGGAAACCATTTGCAGCCAAAGGGATGTTGCTGAGCCTCCCCAGAACTGCTTTGCATTTTCTCTTCTTGCATTCTAATGATTAATACCGTTGAAGCTGCAAAAACATGATAAAATTAATCAAAATCTTTGAGGTGGAATGTTCCCATTAAAAAAATACATCATGCTGGAATTCAAAGAGAGATATAAAAGTTCAAGTATGTGGAGTGAATGAAAAAAGCAAGTTTAAATGAGTCAACATTTGAAAGGAATCTGTCCCCACATCTTTTATTTTATTTACCAGACAAGGTTAAAGAGAGGCCAACACTGAGTTTAGATTTGAGTAACATTCATGCGCCAAAAAAGGGAACAAACAGAATGAGAGCACCATGAGTTCAACTCAAAATGTCAATTTTTTAATTCATTTTAAAGCAGAAAAGTACATTTACGTCATAGAGTCCCATTTTTAAAAGTTTGGTAGCTGTAGAAAAGCTGATAAAAACAGTTTTTGATCATCTGCAAATCATTACAACTCTAAAATCTTTAAAAATTGATGATACATTAAATGTTAAAGTTATAAATATTTGTGCTCATGTGCTAAAAAAAAAGGCATGCCTCTGTAGTGGGAACCACCACATAGTTTTGTCATTATCTGTTCTGTAAATTTAGTTTTGCCTGGTTTTATTATCTAAATGTATTTTCTTTGTGTTTTCCCTGTTTCCATCCTTTTTTTAAAGTGTATTATTCTTTAAATCAGTTTTCAGTATTTCCTGTCTTATTTTGTAGTAGTTGATTCCTTGTGTTTCTAGTCTGGTTTAACTTCACTAGTTTTCCCTCCTTCGTTAATCACCCATGAGTTTCACCTGTGTCTCGTTAGCCTCACCTGTGTCTCGTTTGCCTCACCTGTTGCTCGTTAACCAGTGTGTATATAGTCCCTGTCTTCCCCTCTGTCCTCATTGGTTCATTGTTTGTTGGTGTGTGCATATGCCTGTGTCACCAGTGGCCCCCTGTGATTTTGCCTTTTGGATTTTTCTCTTTTTGTTGTTTTTTTATTTCATTCTTTTTAAATAAATCCTGTTTTTGTTCTGCATTTTGGGTCCTTTACCTTTTTGTTTAACTCTGGACCGTGACACACATTATTATTATTGTGAATTCCTCAGAGTAATACAGCCAACCAGTTTGTTCTGAATCCACAGCTCAAAAACAAGACTCTGTAGTGGAAATCACCACATGGTCTCAGAATCGCATCCAAAAATCACTGCCTGTGACCATATTTCCTGACATATTCAGTCAAGAGGAAATGATTGGCAACTGTCAAAATCTGAACTCTAGCTTTAAGGTCCTTACACACCGGAACCGACACAAATATACAACGCGAAATCACGAAATATTCAGAGGCAAATTTTGAAGCGCCTGACTATACACATCAAGCCCGATCCGATTGTGCGACTTTCCGGGGGGAAAAGACTTGCCCGGGTGGAAGTGAGAAGACTGAGTGTTTTTTTCAGCTCTGATTAGACTCTAGTGTTGAGATCACTGTCTGTCATGATAGCATGTACTGAGTCGGGGCCAGTACCAGATAAGCACATTAAACTATAATCCATAAACGTAAGGTAACAACAGAGACCTAATGGTGCTGTGACAGCAACACGATTGAGTTTGAGACAGTGAAAATACATATGGTATGTTGTATCTGAACAGGTTAGCTTACGAGCTAAAGTTACTTAGCGCAGATGAAAGTTAAAACAAAGACGTTTAGCAAACTGTTAAAGCACACAAACCATCGTCATATGAGAAATCCGATGCTATGACTCTCCACAAGTTGTCCTTCAGGTCCTTATCTTTGTAATATTTGTGTGTTTTATCAAAAAGCACGTAACATGTACACAATCAGTCGGTCGGCCATGTTGGATATACCAGTGAATCTGACGTTGCAACAACACGAAATCTGATTGGTCAGAAGTGGACACACAGTATGCCAAACTTCAGTAAAATCGACCATGATCCGAAAAAATACATGCCGCAATATTGCAGGACGGGAAAAAATCGCTGATGTGAACGCCTGTATTGACAGGATACAGATTCGAAAAAAAATATTGACGTCCGAAATTATCGCACGAAAAAAACGCTCCCTGTGTATAAGGACCTTTACACTATCTGACATCTTATGGATATTTGAAATACTATTTTTTTTCTGTAATACGTATTAATGAGTTTTGACTGGTCTGATACTTTTACATGAAGCGGTTTCATTAAGTATTTTCCACATATGTCCCAAATTAGCATTTTAATTAGTTTATAACAGACATTTTGACATGTTAAAATGTCATTTCACCAATTAAGATAAATAGCTAAAGTTGCTGCTACTTCTAAAACATCATTCCATGCTACATTTCATGACAGCTTGGTGGTGGAAGAAAAGAAAAAAAACCCTCTGAGATCTCGACATTGATGAAAGTCTTCAAGGGTTTTCCGCTCCTCGAGGCAAAGAGCCCCCCCGCCCCCGAGAGTTCAGGGAAAAGAAGCCCATTACCGATTCAGCACACTTTAACTACACGCAAAAGGGAATCAAATTAAATGTCCTTTTATTACTGTGATTATGTGGGACGATGTCACTGTGGACTCCTGCTGTCACTCTGTGTCAGCTTCCCTAATCTGACACAGACCACTGCTGGTACTCTGCCAGGACAAGTGCCCTTCAAATTAAAAGACCTCTCTGCCAGATTTCAACATGCAGAACCGTCAGGCTCAGCTGCTGCAGCTCCTGACCTCTCTAACTGGCTGCTCTCCACCACACATTACAGTTGTATAATGAGGACAAGTTATAAGAAAAAAGAAAAACACTGACTGGAGTTTTAAAGGTTAGTCATCTCCATCAGGATGAGCTTGAACAACTGTGATGTTATTCTTGTCTTTCAAAACTGAAGTGTAATTGCTCGGTAATTGCTTCAGCGGTTCTTGATTTATTGATCGTTTTTGTGGGTGAAGAGAACAAGAATCAATGTAACAACCCTCAAACCATCCACGTCTGACGTTTCAGGCAAACACGCAATAAGTTGACGCAAATGCGAGGCCGACAAACAAGAAAAGACTGAAATATCTACAGCCAGAGGGAACTATTTTGCGGTGTAATTCTCTAGTGACTCGAAATGATCCCTTCAGCTATTTCAGTCTGTTCTATCTTGACTGTGAGTATCAGCCCAGGAGTTCACATGACACACCACTCGTCCTATTTGCTTTTTACCTTTTAAAGAAAGTCCCAATATCAAAGGAAAAAAGCCAGATATTATCTTCTCAGCTCTTTTTCAAAGTGACAATTTGAAGCCAGGGCAGAGGAGGTAGTTGCGTGTGCAGTTCTGCTGAGCCACAAAAATAAGTACATGGACAATGTTGCCTGGAGTCATTTTGGACCTGCGCCTTTCGGATTTCTTTTTTTTCTCCTTCTGATCTTGTGCTCATGCCACTTTGTACAACATCAGACTCAAAGAGGGAACTTTATGTCCGTGCTAAACCTGACTCTGTCTTAACCAGGACGTATTGTTGCTGTTTAACCAGGAGTAGCAGCATCTTACCTCAGAGACTTGTCATTACAAGCCAAAAATAAAGACCTAATTGACCGTAATGGGTACACATGGCTTCACTTGCAGCTAGCAAAAATGTCTTGATATGTTTCTGGAGGCAAGATGAAGAACTTGTCAAGCAAAATTTGGCATGAAATTCTTTGAGAAAAGATTCTTTCCACCACATTTCAAAGTTTGTTTGCTGGAAAATGTGGACTAAACAGATTTTAATGGTTTCTCAAATGGTTTAAACCAAATATTTGTTTGGAAATTATGTTGAATGACACTCATACCAAATGGCTGTGATTTTCCACCCCTTAGATGGCACTACATCCAAAATAAAGTCATGACTCTGTAGTGGAAATCACAGCATGGACTCAGATTATTTCCCATAAACAATTAACTGTGAGCACATTTGTTGACTTTACTTTTGGAAATTTAGGGAAAACCACAACCACCAAGCCCACAGCTCAAAATACACACAACTTTGTAGTGGCAGTCACGGCATGGGCCCATCAAAGTTGAGCTGTACCGAAGAGCTGAGGACAAACAGCAGTTGCAAAAGGAAGATAAGGCTGCAACTCTGTCAGAAACACTTGAGAAAACCGAATTATCGCCTTACTCCGATTAAGACCGAACAACTGAAGTGCATGTAAACACCTTAATCCGACTAAAATCAGAGTTTGAGAACTTCGATTGGAGTCGGAGAACTCCAAATAAGACACCCAAAGATTTTCTCTACCATGTAACCAGCGTAGTTCTAGTATGAGAGGACTATGCATGTGCGCCATGTCCCCGTAACCCTGGAACAAAAACACCAGAGAAGAGGAGTAGCGTGCACCTCATCTGCAGAAAAAGTAGCGCGTACATCATATACGACAAAAACAACACAGTACAATGCTCCATCTTCTTGCTTGAAAATGCCCACCAGCAGTTGTGGCTACTTCTGACGTCTGGCATGGACCTGCTGTTGTTGTTGGGTCAACTGGAAACAGCGCCACTGAAAAGACCCATATCGCCCCCTAGTATAGGGGAGGAGGACATGTTCACATCAATAATTTGATTTTCTCAGCTGCATGTTTACGCAGACAAGGAGAGAAGTCCGATTCAGTTGAAAACAAAAAGAATTATGAGCTTAGTCCGATTAAGCTGTGCATGTAAACACACAGACTGTGAGTTTCCCTTATCTGAGTTGAACTCTAAAGTTCCCAGTCCCTGGGGAAAGTTCCTGCAGTGGAAACGCACCCTCAGCTTCCCTTTCCCATTCTGTTTTCATTTTATCAAACAACACAATGAAGCTAATGTGTCCTGATGCAGCCTCCAGAATAGACACAGTTATTTTTGAAGCAGGACAGAACTGCCTACTTTTACTTTAACTGCAACACTTTGAAGTCCAGAGCCCAGAAATGCTACGCACTGGTAACTATTATTCCTCTGCAAACTTTCTTCAGCTTAAGCCTTTCTGGCTGGCACACCTTGATCATACATTTCTCCAGCACCTGAAAGAGAGAGCTATCAATAATTGATTGAGCAGAACGAAGCGTGTGCGCTCTTCAAGGGGGCGGCTGGCGTCTGTGTGCGGTTGTTGTTTTTATTGGGAATCTGAAGGTAAAAAATGTAAGAAAACACTGTTTCCAACACTTTTTGTTTCTCTCTCGTCCTTTGAAGAAAAAAAAAAAGATAATTTGAATGGAATCGACAAGTCCAGGCACAGCAGTTTATCTCCTTTTTCTAAAAAAAAAAAAAAAAAACTCAGTTGCAAAAACTGAAAAGAATTTACAACAGTCTCTAGTAACTCTAAGAAAATTTGCTTTTTAGAAACAGAACTTCTGTGTACAAACCCAAGAGAGTTTGGAGGATGAGGAAAGTGGTCATGGTGCCGTCATAGATGTGCAAACTACCCACGTCATGGACACTTCTCCACCCCTTTACCACCATGGATAAGGGCCGATGTAGAAGTGCTACAAACTGCAGCTCCTAGGGTGCCCACTTGAGGGTGGCTGCAGGATTCAGGTTGACCGCCAAAACCAATATGGCCACCACTGCCATCAGGCTTCAAAACGTAAATGTGTTTACCAATGCTACGTCCATTTATAATAGAGTATAGACCTACAACTTGGTAGAGGGAATCCCTCAGGAGGAGCTGCCTCACCCGCAAATTCCACTGCATCCGGAACGGCTATTGCAGCTGACCATAACCATTCAAGTCCATGTGCCAATTTCCAATGGCTTCTTTCCATTTTGTTGCGGGTCGCCAACTCCGCAGCTGATCGCAAGAGTTCTATTTTTTCAGGATGCCGGGACATTCCGGGTAAATTCAGCACAAATTAGTCCGTGCTGGAAAGGAAGTCAGGCACAGAAACAAAATGAAACATCCGGCTTCTTTTCAAAATAAAACACTCCGTGTTTCACACCATGCAAATGGGCGCTGACAAACAAGTTAAAGGTTTATAGACAGCATTTCACCCCTATGACAGAATGGATGAGGAGATGCTGATTCTTAAAGTCTAGAAGTAGAATTCCTCCTCTGGAAGGACATAATCTATACGGTTATGTGGCTGTCTTTACATAGACAACTTGTTATCGCACAATTGCATGTACATCCTCAGGTTCTTGTGAGTTCTCACGATTCCCGCTGTCCGAAATTCGCCTCACACACAGATCTGGTGGAAATCAATGGATGGCTAAAATCTCAGCCGTTCCAGATCCGAGCCATTCCAGACATGGTGGAAATTTGGGTCTGCCTATGTGGCCCAATCCTTGATCTTCTCAGTCCAGTTTAATGGGTTCAGGCCCAGAGCCGTCACCAACATCTGTAGATCAGTTTTTTGGAATATCGTGCGTCTAAAACCTGCACTTTTAGACGCAGCGCCAAAGTGTGTTCACAGATGATCATGTTTAGGCACGATTTTGAGCCAATGCAGTGACATCCACTTCAGAGTCATGCCTGTTTTTCCATCTGATTGCCATTATGTCCAGAGATTTCTCCTCACTGTTTTTTTTAATCCATATTATGTTCTATAGATGATAAAATCTCTAATTCACTAACCTTTATATTCAGTTTAAAACAGCAGCACAGAGCTGTGAGTGTATTATATAACAGAACAAGTATACATACAGACAAGGTTGACCTTGCTAAATGGCAGGTCAAGGTATATGGTATTTGAGCACTGACATGGAGACGTATGGAAGTGAAAAGCATCCAAAGAGGTCATAAATGGATCCATTTGCAATGACCGCTCATGGGATTCTTGTGTTTTATCTAATGCAATGCCATGTTCAGAGTTGGACTTGCTTCTCCTGTGGGAACCGCACATGTATTCTACATGATTCATGTGCATTAAGTGGGCCCCAAGTCATAGAACACACGCGCTCCGTAACGGGCGTATTGGAAATGAGACATGGCACATGCTGCAGCCTCTGAGCAAGAGGCAAGGGACTACTTCAAACACAAATGATAGAAGAGGTGAGTAAACACTAGGAAGGTGGTTTTAAAGTGAAATAAAAGAGGTGAAAATGGGTTGCCTGTGCTATTATTAGACGTGGTTTTGCCTCCAAAGGGCTTGGAGACAATGTCCCTGCTCATTACTGTAAAAACAACACAGCGGGGGGACATGCTCGCAGTGACAGCACAATCCCTGTCACATTCCTGATCCTGTTTTATTAACTCAGCGCTGTAAGAAGCTTCGCCTCTTTGCAGACGACTTAGTTGTGCCACCGATGAAATGAAGCGTACTTGAAGAGATCACTTTGTGCAGCTGGAGGCAGATCCAGAGGGAAATGGTTCAGAGGAATGATGATGGGGGGAAAAAAAAGGTCCTGTGTGTTAAATATATTCATAATGACGATGAGACGTGGAATGGGGAAATGCTTTTGAGGGTTGCACCAAGACTGGATTAAGGTTGCTGTCTCTGGGCGTTTGCAGCACCTCATGAGACGATCTGTGAGACATATTTACAATCTTTGAGGCAGATCCTTGAAGTAAAAAAAAAGGTTTGATCATAATCAAAGAATCAGTGTTTTTCAAAAAGGAGCAAGTCATTAGTGTCAAAGTGACACATGCTTAATTAGAGCCCAATCCCAGCAGCTCTGTCAATTAATGCAGACTGAGAGGTTGGATATAATAAGATGGGATTAGATGAAACTCATTGTCCTCTGAGGACTTTCCCATGGCTCAATTAACTCGGCAAATAACCTGAATTAATCACGAGCGTATTGCAATATTAATTTTCGGCTCAGAAACGGATACAGCTTGCATTATTCAGCAATAATAAAAGAAAGCCTTCTTACATCCGTGTGTGTGTGTTTGTTTACAAGGTGAAAATGTGATCCGCTTACAAAAAAAAAAGGAGCATTTATTGGCTGTAACCTTGCGGGAGGTTTTGGCTGCCGTCTGCACTCCATCCCTCTCCTGTTTTCTGGCAGCGGAGAACTCTTTTAACCTTTTCTGTCTGGAACTCAAATGAGAAATTTAGTCGCTCACCCTAGGAACCAAGCTCATTAAAGCATATCGGGGCTTCAGCTCATACTTGCAGTATCCGGGGCATGAATATGCATTATTCAAACACAGGACATTATCTATCTAGTTGTGCTTCTCAGTAATGTTAGTTTTTTTTTACCCCGGAGGAATAAATATGTAAAATATTTCTACAACACCAATACGTCAACTTCATGATCTTGAAAACATAATTGCTAATTCAGTTAGGAGGTTCTAAGTCCCGGCTTGCTTTTTTCTTTTCCTTTCTAAAGACGCTGCATGCTTGAGAGGCAAATATTCAAAAAACATCTCTGATGCTTTGAAAAATAGTAATTTGAACCCTGAATTTCACAGAAAATAGTGAAAACATCATCTCTAATTTAAAAAAAGTAACATTTCTTCTGCGTTGCGATACAAAACAGGCATGAATCTGAAGTGGAAATCATTGCATGGGCTGAAAACAGTCTCCAAACCATTTTTAGTCAAAGTTATTAGTCCTTATGTCTTCAAATGCAGGATAACCATATGTTGATCCATTCAGGACAGACTGATGTTGAATGAATAACTGTCTTGTTGTCTGTTGAATTAAAAGTGGGGTAGGCAGGATCTGAGGAAGTGCCAGTTTTTGGGAGATCTCTTGAATATAAACACTCAGTCCCTCAGTCTCTGCTCCAGCAAGCCCCGCCCACAAACAGACGTTCGTATCATTCCATTTAAATTCAGATATAATGCAGATAAATACTTCAGATGATTAAAAATGGGGCCCAGTCAATGTGAAAATAAAAAGCATTGGTGCTACTGCAGATGCCAACAGACTACCAGCAAATACAATGATTACAGGACTTCTACAACTAGGATAAAGTGACATAGTCCAGGACCCGAGGTAAACAGTTTAGCAGCACTACAACACGCAACAGGTCCTGTTTCACAAGAAATCAGGGATGCTAAAGTGATCTTGTATACCTCAGTCAGACATCACCTAATGATATTTTGCAGGTATCACAACAGTATGGCTCAGAAGTTAAGGAATCCAGGTGCTTTGCCCTATTTTCAATCACTCTACCTAACACAGCCGCTCTATTTTTTTTTAGACAATACAGCTGTGTTATTGGCTGTTGATTCACATGTGAACATAAACCTCATGGCACTTTTAATTATATAGTCATGTTGTCCCTCATTTGCTCCCATCATTCCAACAAGCCCAGCGGGGAAACAGTCAGCAGCAAAGAAAGTGCCAGATGCTTTCAGAGAAAATCACACATTGCTTCATTATGACAACATGCATCAGCTGCATCCTTCAGTACATTCTGTGCTGCTCAGATGAATTAGCATGCACAGCTTAATCAGCTTAGAAATTGATTGTATTGGGCTGTCAGACTTGTTGTGACTCCAATCCCTTGCAAACTCCATCAATATCAGCTCTGGGGAGTTTGCGTATGGCTCTGCATTTAACGGTGTAACCTGCACACAGGGAGACCAGCAGGAGTCCCCCCCTCGGCGTGGTTCATTTGTCACCCCGATGATAATCTATAATAGTCAGGTTCCCTGCTTGTGTGGGCCAAACTCGGCTGCAGCTAAGAGGCTGGAGTTGCTATGCACATTTTGGCTAACTACATCAGATGACGCGCATGAAAAGAAAAAGGAGAAATTGGATTAGGCTTGATGTATAAAAAGGGTGTGTAATTCCTGATGACGTTGCTCTTACTGACACACTTCCCCATCATTATACTTGCCAGCCTGCAGACTGCCAGTGCGGCACTGTGCCATAAGTTTTGACCGCCGGTTGTGCCTGTGGTTTTTGTTTCTAAAATCTGATGTCTAATTTGCCTACCAGCCTCGTGGTGCTTGTCTGTTAAGATAACAGAGGGATGATATTATGAAGGGCCCTGAAGTTGCGTACTTTAGGGATGAAGATAAATAGAAGAAGGGATGACAGGCAAAGTTAAAGTGACAAAAAAATACAAAACGGGCTGCGACCTAAATCAGGGCATCCATTCCACCTCGACTGATTACTTCACAGCCGGAGCTGAGCCGGCATTAAAGCAACCCTCTGTGTTTTTGATGACTGAGTCCCAGGGAGCTGTGTTTTGATAAGCAGGTCCTTGTGCCGTTTGTGCCACTCGCTCTGCTAGCATGCACAAGAGGACCATTCCAGTATTTTAAATGGGCAACCCATTTTCCACATCAAAGTCTGTTTACAGGTCTTGGAAAGCCCTAACCACTTATGTGAAAAGGGGGTTTTTGAAGGGTTTGTGGTTCCAGTGGGAGCAGAGCAAAGTCTGATAAACTGTTTGGGACTGAAGACTACAAGTTAAAAAAATAAGTAAAATCTGGGCGTGGATGTGGAGTGGGGCCTGAATTTGAGACAACATTAGTTCCTACTTGCACAAAACACTAAATGTTTTGTTGCAATTACTTGTTTATTTGTTTAACCTTTGTTTAACCAGGCTAGTCCCATTGAGATCAAAAATCTATTTTTCAAGGGGGGCATTGTGGGTAATATAAGATCATAAATGCAATTTATAATTCAGCGACCAGTTCTGCTGGACACAGGAAAAATGTTAAGTATTGGGGCACCCTCATTATTTTCAGTACCAAACACGACAATGACTTTGTTTAGTTTGGCAGTACTTAACTGGATAACAGCCGATTGTGTTTAGTGTTTAGATGATCCTGTAGAAAATCCTCAATTTGTTATAAATAAGCTTTGGGTGAGAAGTTAGGCTACATTCATACTGTAGGTTATGATGCACAATTCGGATTTTTTGTTAAATCCGATCTTTTTGTGCAGTTGTTCACATTACAACAACGAATGCGGTATCTAATGTGAACGGAATGTGCCCGCATGTGCACAAAGCACAAATTGCTTTCCACGCCTGTTTGTGTTATCAAACAATGTTGACGTTTGTCGCATATTGATAATGTATAGGTCGGTGTCCACACTGCAGTAACATCGGATACATATCCGATTTATATCCACGTACAAAAGAGGCCTGGGTCGAATTTGAAAAACTCAGAATTGCACTGTTCACGCTTACATGAAAAAAACAGATATGTGTCACATATGGTTAAAAAATCGGAATTGACCTGCAGTGTGAACATAGCCTTAGTGTTTTTCGCATTAAGCCAAGCTTGGTTGTTATACAAAAGAAGAGGACCCAATACTGTCCCCTGTGGCACACCCCATTGTTGAGAGGCTGATTGTATGGGGCAAATCAAGAGCAGGATCAGTCCAAAGGTGAATTACCATGCTTCCGCCTGAAAATATCCTGATTTTAATGAGCAAATTTTGTACAAATGATACTTTTTATTAAACATTAGCATTGGTTTCTAATATTATTTTTGAAGACAGGTGGGTGTAGAGCTGTTCTTGGTATTGTACTATTAAAAGTAAGGCCTCATCGTGTCTCGAATGTGTTTTACCCAGTGACAGATGACAGTTTGTTTACAAGAAAACGCCACAGGAAACTTTAAGTTAACAAAGTTAATAAACCCTACAGAAACCCTGCTGGGCCAGTCACTGCAGACTCAGCGTGAAGCCAAACACTGTTCAAACTCTCAGAACTTTGATGCCGTGGTCCCAAACACTACAAAGTTTGTCAGGTTGGCATAATTCGGGGGGGAAAAGTGTGAAAGGATTCGCACACAACATGAAGGAAAATTCCAGCCGAGGGAATGGCACAGCCAAAAAAAAAAAATACAGAGTCTTGTGTTTGAACATGTTTCTCTGAGTTAAGAATACGGAGCCTCGATGATTAGGCTGGAAAAATCTAACAGGGAGTATGTTTGTTTCTGCCAGCCACAGTTAAAACAATCTTTCTCTATCCAGCAAGTTATAAATCAGTCCTTTATTTGATGCTTCTTGTCCTGTTTGCTGCATTTAAACATCATAGCATGTAGGTACTGGGTGCAAAGAAGACCTGTCAGTCATCTACATATTTGGTTTTTTAATAAAGCTTGAGTAGGAGTTGCTCTTTTCATTGTTCATTGTTCCCTTTTCTTTTCTCTTCTCATGCTAATTACCCAGCTCTCCTGCCAATACCAGAAATATAAAGCGCACATATGCCAGAGAATGCAAGCCAAACAATGGAGGGCTGATGCAAATGTAGGCAAAATTAAAACCCCTGTGAGTGTTAAAATAAGACTCTCATTTGTTTTTACAATAAGAGATAAGAACTTATTTACAGGAAACTTGTTTTGATATCATCTAGAAACAGCTCTTGATGTAGATAATCAAATACAAGCACGTATTTTAACTTGTTTTACCGTCAACACTGTCCAGATAGGAATGTAACGCAGTATGAGACCGCTGGGATACAGTGCGGGATACCACAAGGTTCCATTCTGGGGCCACTGTAGTGTCATCTACATTAACAATCTTGTGTCAAACACTATATGTAAATAGTATTTGCTGGTTACAAAGATTTACTAATTGCATAAACTGGCATCATATAGTATAGTTTTGAATTATTTATCAACACATTTGTGTGAGTCAATTTTTTACTGCAAAATTTATCATTTTTTTGTATTTCTTTTTTTTTTTTTTACCTTGGTACCTTTCCTCATATTTTGTTCACTTTTTTTGTATATTTCTTTTAATAGTGTACAAATAAGTCAACTAAAACCAGTTCCCAGTAGAACTATTTGCTCCTCTTATTGTGATGTTTCCAGTTGTTCTTGTTGTTCATACAGTAAACTGCTCTGATTTCATCCTAAGCTTTGGGTTTGCAGAAAGCGTTCAGAAAAATTGGTGTTACCAACTTGAAAACCAGAGGCCTTTCCGGGGGAGAAAAGCAAGCAATCTTAAAGTGAGCAGAAAATGGGAAATCAATGATAGCAATAGCTCAAGCACCGGCCAAAGCCAGTACAACTATGCCCCAAAGAAGAAAGAAACCACCGGCGTGCCTGGAAACACTTGTTAAACCAGAGGACCGGAACAGCAGACAAAGCTGCAGGTGTGAAGAAAATCCTTTAACAACCATTTGTGGCACTAGCAACAACTTTCACAGGGGAGGGATAAAAGGTCATTTTCAAAAGAAATGTTCATTTATAAGAAATACAAACAGGTAAACCAATTCAGAGTTTACCAAAAAAGGATAAATGATAAGGCTCAAGAGTTTTAAGACAAGCCTTGATGAATTGTGAGGAAAAAAAAAAAGATTGTTTGGTCAAAGTGTTGGGAAAACTAATACGTATGAAAGATTGGACAATCCCAAGGACAAAAGCTCATCGGAGCAATGGTAAAGCCTTTGCTTTGACCGAACTGCAAAATTAAACCAGAGCTCATCAGAGTGTTTAAATGAAAGTCTCAAGACTGGCCAAGCCAATTTTAAGATGTCAGCCTTATCAAGCCTTTTAGATGCTCAAAGGTGGACTGAAGGGAATAAAACCCTGCAATCAATGCTAACTACCGCGATGACCTCCTGGAAACCATCATTAGAGAAGAACTTAATGAAAGAAGAGGATTTGTAGTCTTTATCGAGTGGCGTTTCAAAGCCGGGATGGGTAATTCTGGGGGTAACCAGACAGAGAAAGTTTCAGAAAAAGTCAACAAGAAGATGTGGAAGTTTTACATTGGATCATCACCATCACTTATCCCACTCAGTCAGTGGATTAACAGGCGACCCTTTGCCATTCTAATGTTCTTCTTGGAAATCATGGATGCCAAGTCATCCAGGCTACAAAAGAGAGGGACCACCAAGCTTAACATGAGCAGGATGGAACGATATCTCACTTTTAATACTCTATAAACTGTTTGCCATGGTTCTAAAATGTTTGCAGTGTTGCTAAAAGAAGAGGTGATGCAACTCAGAAATAAACATGCTCTTCTTTGAACTATTTTCAATCAAATATAGAGTTAAAATGACATGCAAACCATCAAGTTCTTTTTTTTTAATTAGCGTCTGAACTTTCTTGGAGTTGGGGTTGAAGTCACAGAAGCGATAGTTAGTTCCAACTCATATCCCTCTTTATGTTTCATTAATCTACCCCCTATCCCTTCAATAATCTCAAAGAAGGAGTGTTCACAGAGTCTCGCCTGCTGTTCACTGTTTCCTGCTGTATCTCCTGTTCCTCCTCCTCGCTACAGGTCATATGGATTCCTGCCAGTGTTTGAGGACAGCCGCTTTTGTCAAAATTTGTGGATGTAAACAACTCAATGGGCTGACAAGAACTCAGCTCTGTACAATAACAGTGCTCTGTTCCCCTGCGGCTGTGTTTGCTTTCATGTTTGTATCTTATAAGTGTGTCTGCTCTTAGCTAAGGGAAAAAAAAAAAAACGGAGAAGTGATTTTGCTTCCAGCGCTGGTCCCACAGTTCTCTTGAACTTCAAAGGACTGCGAGGGAAACTTTCCTACATCTTGATGCTGCATTCACCCCTGTGCCACAATCAGGAAGCTTCCATCTATCTCCATCTGCGGGTACTCACTGATACAGACCTGGAATGTAAAAAGATTTCTCTTGGAGATGAGTCAAGTAAGGTTTTTCTTACAGCTCTCCTTCCACTTTGCTGAAATTAGAATCCCTTCTTCGCCCGGGGCGGTAAAAACCAACATGTGCCACATTGTAATGTCATTCATTGCATGGTTGTATTTAAATCAGATCAAGTCTGTGCAAATTTGGAGTATGCTTGCCCATGAGGGTGGGGGGGTTCTCACCACAGGCCATGCTGATTGGACCGACTAATCAAAAAGATACAATTGTACCGAATGATGAAATGCAAACCCGAGATGCCGGCTCCTTTTGATATTTGCATTTTTCCATTTAAGCCCCTTCTCGGCAAGACACTGTCACCTCATTCAAGAGCCGCAGCTTCTCAGAAATACAGTTCATTTTGGAAGTGATGTATGATTAGCTCTGCCAGCCACAATCCTAATTGAAATGAGTCCCGGCTGTGCAGGCAGGGGGGGAGCGGGGCAGGGATAGACAGCTGTGCTCGTTTGAATTGGTCGGAATCAGTTGTTCGTCCAATTTCACTGTAAGGACTAATGAATTACAAGCTGCGCTGATAAGGTCATGTGGGGTGAAATTTGACTAACATTAACATTTATTACAGGTGCAGATAAAAAAAACTCACGTCTTGAAAGAAACAAATTCCTTTTTCTCCCATAAAGTCCAACTTTCATACATTAGGACATAGTGGAAAAATCCAGATTCTTGTCCTGAAAAGAGCTCTAATCAGCGGATGAACTCTGAACACCTGCAAAGTCTTTATTCTCATAGTTCTTCGAGCATGCTTGTATTTGCTTCCGAGGTACTATAGTCCCTTTCTGTTCAAAACAAGCATTCAAAACTACACAGAATCCAGTTCATTTACACCTCAATGCAAACCCGACTGTTCCTTTTCCATGTCACTATTCAATATTATTCATTCCCCATGACTCATACCACCACTGTACTTGTGTTTTTGGTGCTGCATCAACATCTGAAAACAGCTCCAAACCAGAAGTGCTTACAGTGACAGGAGTGCAGGAGTGTCACAATGTACAATCTACACTACAGCAGCTTCTGAAGTGATGGGAATGCATGCAAAAAGGAGTCTCAAGGCAATTTTTTTCTCTCTCTCACCTCTCAAGTGGCAGTACAAGGAATTCATCCTTATCTCCCGTCAAGAAAAATATAAAAAATCCCCTTTTCCTTTCTGCCCATTGCACACAAGTGTGGAATAAGAAGCTTGCTGGGCCTTTTTTTTCCTGCAAAGTTCTGCACGCTGACTGATGCGTAGGCTCTGCACAGCATCAGATTACTGGATTTAGCGAACGGTTTTGATTGCATAGCATGGTATTCAGCTTGGATGTTCTTTGACGACACATCATAAATGGTTTTAAATAGAGCAAGGACATTATATTAAATATCATAAACTGAAAAATTTCATTAAGTTATGAAGGATATTCATGTATTTTTGATTTGATGTCAATAACACGTTTTAAAAGTTTTCAAAAACCACCTAGAGCAGACCTGGGCATTTTACGGCCCTTTGGATGTCCCTGCCTGGCCCTTCGTGAGGTGCGTCAATCAAATCATCAACAGACTATAAAAGTGTGTCGCTTTTATTTTGAAAACCTAGCTGTTGTTTTATTTCTGTTTGGATTCACGTGCGTACATCCTAGAGACAAGTTTAAACATTGGCAAAATATTCATAGACGCCTTAAGGTCCTTTCACATCAGCAACGTTTTCCTGTCCTGCGATTTTGCGGCATTTATTTTTTCGGATCATGGTTGATTTTTTCTAAAATTTCGCATACTCTGTGTCCACTTCTGACCAATCAGATTTCGTGTTGTTGCGATGTCAGATTCACTGGTATATCCAACATGGCTGACCGGCTGATTGTTTGTGATCGTTTACACAAACATTACAAAGATAACGACCTGAAGAACAACTTGTGGAGAGTCATAGAGAGTCAAGAACTTCAAATTGTCCAACGGACATCCGAAATAGGTTCTGAAGCGACCATGGTACAGTTTAGCTCCTGAACCAAGCAGTCAAACTCACGAAGCTCTCTTCTTTTTTTTAAAATATTGAATGCACCCATGTGCTACATATCTTTTTCTTTTGAGAAAGCAAAAGTAGTACCAATTCGCCATCACTTGAAGTTCAAGTAGACTCTATTTTTGTCTTCTGGCTTCCATCCGGGGGATGGAAAGGGAAGGTCCCACCCACCTTCGCCTCTGATTGTCTATAAGTGTTGACCGTTTGGCTTGAGCGTGTGATGATGTTTCCAGCTTTTCTAGCCAATCAGAGGCGAAGGAGGCGGGACTTTCCCCTGGAAAAGTCTTCCCTGGGATGCGTCTTTTTCCCCTGGAAAGTCGCAAAATCGCATCGGGCTTGATGTGTATAATCAGGTGCGTATATTCCGAGATTTCGCGTTCTATATTCGTGTTGGCCCCAGTGTGTAAGGACCTTTAGAGTTGCCAAGTCCGCCTATTATAAAAGACTTTAAGTTTGTTTTTCTCAGAAGTCGCTTGTAAAACTCGTAAGTCGTGGGTGCTCTTCTTTTTGGGCTTGTTTTTAACTAGTAGTTGCTTCTCTGTATGTGTGAACCCCCACTGATTTGAAGTTGAAGTATTGTTGGTTCAGCCCTCCAACACAAATAAGGTTTCTCATGTGGCCCCATGTAAAAATTAGTTGCCCACCCCTGACCTAGAGGAACATCTCTCAACTGATTATGCTAATCTGCAACAAGTTAGCAGGGTTGAGCCTGCTGGAACTGGGGGGATTTAATAACATCACCATCTATGTACTGCATATACATACACTGCATCCAAAATAGACATGGCTCTGTAGTGGAACTCACCGCATAGGCCCAAAATCACCTCCAAAAGCTACATCCTTTGAAAAAACGAAAGCTACAACTCCTACTGTGCTTAGATTGAACTCTAAATTTACATGACAAAGTACCAACATTTTACACAGTGCCCTAACTGTGGTGGAATTCCCCCCTTTCTCTCTGCCTGTGTGGAATAAGAGGCTTGTTGTGTCTGTTTCCTGCAGAGCTCCGCACACTGACTGATGCATAGCCTCAGCAAAGAATCAGAGCACTGATTTGGGTTGATGTTTCATTGCAGGGAACTAAATACAGGTTAGTGATATGAAAGATTGCTCTGTTAGTGACGCCATTGGCCGCGGGAGTACACACTTGTTGCAGAGGTAATAATGAAGATGCAGACGTGACAGCCATTTCAAACTGATTTGCATTTTTTTTTTTGTCTTTGTTTACTGCTACCAGCATCTAATTATTATTCACAGAGGGGGACAACAATGTGTCATCTTCTATTTGTGGGATTGGGGCGAAATGACTTGAAATGCACATGTTTCTCACATGGAAAAGAGTTGCCGAAGGCCCAAACAGTATTACTCTCGCTTTATTTTGATTGCACTTCATTAAAACAGCTTTAGAAAGAGTGCGCCTCAAAGACTCACCGCCATAAGACAAAGCTGTAATTGAAATTAGAGGTAACAGAGGACTGTAGGTGCGTGCCAGGAAAGTAGAATACCGTGAAGAAGCAAGTTTCATACAGATAGACTGCCTTATAATCTATATTCATCATGTAAAGTGAGTATTTCAAGTCTTGTTTGGCTTGTTTTGATTTGATTTTGATGTTTTTGGATTTCAGCTCGTGAAAACCAGGAAGCTGGGATTATAAATGGCCACGGGTGGTACTGGATTGGCTTTTGTGATCAATATACACTCATTTGGACCAAACTAAATCAAGACCTTGAGAAAGTTGATGCTTCTGGGTCCAGTGTTTCCTATCCACCACTTTAAAGTACCCGTTAAGTTCTCTATTGGGTTCAGGCCAGGCTATTTGGACAAACCATTTGGTGGTAGTTTTGGCACTGCAGGCAGGACATAAAGGACACTGACACCTCCATAAAACTTTCCAGCGGATGGAAGCATAAAGTACTCCGAAATCGATTGGTAGATTTGCTGCGTTGACTCCTAAGAGTCCACTTGCAGCTGCCAGAATTCCTTTTGTTTGTGCTTGTGTACCCGGTCCGACTAAACTTTTCTATGAATGTGCCTCGGTGTGAACAACCAGCCTTCTCAGTTGAGTGTTATTTGTATAAATTTAATAGGCAATGGAAAATAATCAACCCGTTCTGTCTTAATGTGACTCAGCCACGGATATTCATCTCTTTTCTGACTCTACATAGCGCTTCCAAAAGGAACATCTGAGCTACCTTCACTTTAAGTACGATACGTCTTTGCTCTTTCGTCCTTGCATGTGTCTCCATTTCATCTTTCTGCTCTCTTTGCTGTTTCCTGTCTGTAAGAAGAAAAAAAAAAAAAAAGGTTTTCAAAAACTTTTGAACCCACTTGAAAGTACGAACCACAAGGTTGGCCTTTTCATGTGTCATTTTTCTTTCATTTTCAAACTGCGATATTGAAGAGAAAACATCCAAATTAGATCAAAAATCGTACTTTTGCTGTGGTCTGCACTGTGCAAAATGCAAATATGATCATTCTGAGTTAAATGTGGAACATCAAAGTCCAGCATAAATTTGATGCTGCAAACAGCATAAGAAATAACTGCATACATTTTTGTATTATACAGCTGCTGAACTGCAGAATCCACTTGTACTTGAAGCGTGTGCTTCTCTAAGCAATTAGCTGCACATACTGCACCGTCAGATCGAGACAAAAACACATTTTGGTCCCAATCTGATCCACCCAGAGCTGTTTCAACTTTAGTTCAAGGGCTTTACGTTTGATGAGGAGGGTATTCAGTATTCTTTTAAGACCCCAAAGGATCCTTCACTTCTGATCTCTGCGTTATGCTTGCTCTGCCACTTTTGAAGCTACAAAAAGATGATAGTTGATGGATTTTTCTGAGGACCTTCGTGAGCTGCGGAGGTCCAGGTGAGCAGCTGGAGAGATCACCACACGGTGCAAGGTTTCACTGTCGCCCTAAGGTACACAGGTGGCGGCCCATTGTTGTCTTTGTGTTCCCATCAAGGCCTCGAACCAGGACCGGTCATGAGCAGTGTCACGCAAATATTTGGACAAGTCAAAGACATGGACTTGACACTTTCAATGGGTGTCTAATAAGTGGTAACCCGAGAGTTGAAAAAGCAAACTGCAGTTCCTCAAGCAGCCACTAGAGGTTGGATGAAACACCAAGGAATCTCCATTGGGTCCCACATTGAAATGCCTTGATTTGAGTATTCAAAGAGCTCTGTTGGTCCAAGTCTAGCAATACCAGAAACCCTGAAAAGTTTACTCTGTGACACAATAAACTAATACATTTATTTAAATTTAAATAACAAGGTTACAAGGTAGAAGGAAAAAAAGACAAAAGTCAGGCATACAATCACCAATGATTAAAACAGGAATTAAAACAAAACCGTGATGATTTAAGAACATAAGGGATCAAAAGATAAAGGTCTAAAAAAGAGATGAATGACAGAAATGAGAGGCAAAGTAAAATAAAAAAAAAGGTCTAAGCCGTCAACAAATAAAACAATTTACCAAGTTACAAAGACTGAGACAAACACCAACAGATAAAAGAAAATGAAAAAATAATGGGAAAAAAAGCATCCAAAAGATAAAAAAACATCTTAAGATCTTGTCTGTAATTGGAGCATATAGGAACAGAGATCTGAAACACACTCCTGCAAAAACATATCCATGTTTTCAAAAGGAGTTTAAAGGTGATAAAGATGTTATCAGGAAAAATACATTATGTATTTTGGGTTGGGGATTGCATTAATACTGTCTGATACATTTTTATATCTGGTCCTGGACTGAATTTCAACCAGTTGATAAGCTTCATCGACTGGCATGGTTTGGTGGCCAAAAAAAGGCTCAGACAGTTTTGTTACTGGTTTCCATCATGGCTCTGTGATGGTTAATTTCATATGGATGGGCCCATGCTGGTGCACATTTGGAGCCAATCCACACAGACCATTACTGGCATTGGATTTCCGGAATCCCCATTTTTAAGCAATGTATTGTATATGCTTTGGATTTCCCCAATGGGCTCCAACACCAATCCCCCCAAAGCCAGCTCTGGGCCCATGCTGAGTTGGAGGCAAACCAAATAAGGTAAGCCTATATGAGGCTGGGATATTCCCTTAATACATGCTACCAATAGACTGCAGTTTCTAATCCCTGGCATGGTGTGGGCCTTGTTTAAATGTCAACACACAGGGAACTGTCGCCATGGTGGATTGTTAGTTTTGCCTCCGGCATGGCAAGCAGGTTGAAGAAAAACAGGGACAAACAAAACTGGATTAGTTTAGCCAACAGTAATTAGTTTGACTTTGTTGAGAGCACAAAGTGTCGTCTTGAGAGACTGATCTGGTGCAGCCGTTGATTTATGGGACTACAACTTAAGTACAGCTTTGCATCCTGACATGGTTGCGTGCCTTTATCGTCACTCTACTCAAAGTTTACTCTGTGAAACTGGTCCGATAAATGTCATCTGCGAACTTTCCCAGGACTTATGGATCCAACTGCTGTCACCTTGGGCTTGTACACTTTGATATATGCCTTCAATCAACAGTGCCGCCTTTTTTGCTCATCAGTCTAAGCCTCTGGATGATCAGGTTTTCCAAATTGGGTGGTGGCCACATGACAAAACACTCATGCAAGTGTGTCAATTCAGAACTGAATGTTATCATTATGACACAAATCTGTCGCAACCCAGCAGTTCTCCTAGTTTGCATGAACCAACAAGTCCAGGTGTGTTTTCTGTTCTCATTCCAGTCAAAAGTTTCTGCTCATGTATGTCTGTTAGATTCAGGCAATCCAAGCAAATAACCTTTCGCCTTTACCCTCAGGGGAACCAGATTACCTGGGTCCACTGTGTAAGATTTTCTTGAAATCTAGTCGTCTCCACTGGAGTATGCGAGCTGAAATGATGCAGGCTGAAACAATTCTTGCATTATTACCATTCCGAGGCTCCATCTTGGGGAAAATATGAAATATTCTTGCATGGTGCATTCAATAACACACACTGCCCATGGCTCATTTTTAGCAGGGAACATTTCCCCAAATGTATACCCATAAATCTGACTCTCAAGGTCCGGTCTCTACTTCTTTTTTTGGCTGTAATCACCACAGTAAGTGGATTTGATGGCAGAGACTGAGTACATTAGTGCCAGGCTTTCACAAAAAGTTTAACTCTGACACACACATTTGTGGCATTGACTTTAAACCATCTTGACAGCGCTGATAAGACCGTCAAAAATGGTGGGAGCTATCATTTTAGCTGTGCTGCATGGGAATGCACATGTGAATTCAGCTGTGGCATTTTTGCAAGTCAAGTGTGGAGTGAGTGAAGCCTCGAAAAGACACTTGCATACAGGGATCCCACAGCCATCATTCACATGCGGGGATAACGTCTCTAAATCTTTACCATAAATGAATAAGCTACTTTCATTACACAACCCGCAGGAACTTTTGTGTCCCTGCCATTTAAGCTGACATTTAATCAATGTAGCCTGCATTGATTAAATATATGTAGATTATAAAGACCTGATTCTAACAGAAATGGTAGGATGCATTTGAACCAGTTTCTGGAGTTTTGGAAGTCAGCTGCTGTACCATTCTTGCCTGATCCAGGATTTCAGCAGGATTTGAGTTAGTCCAGATAAGCACCCAGGCTCTTCCACAATGGAATGAAGCTGAATATCTTGCTGAAATGTGTAAACTCATCCATTTAAAAAGAAAAAATATATATATCTTTTTTTTTTTTCTCTCTTAAGTAATTTTAAGCCCATGCAGTGATTTCCACCACAAATTTAAGTATATGTAGTATTTGTTGTATATCCTTTTATTTCCTCTGAATCTTTTAACCATATAATGAACTTAAATGATGAAATCCCACAAGACTTTGCATTGTTATTCTGCAGTTCTTGAAAGAAAATCTCCCTGCTTATAATGATAACAAATTTAAAGTGTTTCTTAAAGGATTACATCACTTTTTTTTTTAAACATATCTTTTTTCATATTTTTAGAGTTTCTAACATTCAATTTATTACATTTGAGGTATTTCCAATGACACGGATATAAATTAAAAAGATTTTAAACTATAGAAGATGCATTAAAGCTTCTGTGAGGACTTTTTCTTTGCTGTCTATTTTGCGTGAACTTTCTCTCCTATGTACAGTATATGTTGTGAGTGGCTCCTAAAAAGCAAGTCCCACATTCAAATGTGCCACGTATCGAGGCATTTTTTTGCTGCTCAATAGGAAAAGAGCTGTGTAACCCTAGAACACCATCACTATCGTCGGGTGTAATTAACCGAAATAATTCAAAAGTACTTATCAAAATTATATCAAAATAGGACAATACATGACAAATTAAAGTAATTTTCTTTTATTTTTAACTGTGCAATGTCCAAAGGGAGGAAAAAAAGTGCCATACCATGTAAAAATGCAACAAAATAACTGAAATTAGGCATTCATGAACAAAAAATTCCTAAAGAAAAAAAAAAAAAATATATATATATATTTATAGAAACTGTAAACTTAGTTTCCTTTCCACCCATTTCTGAGGCATGTGAGTCTTCCCTGTTGAAGACTCAGGGTCCTTGGCACAATAACAACTGCAGGAGAGAGAACCAAAATATGGCATATTTTCAGTGAGTAAAAATGAAATATTTCTTATCACCATATGAATTCCCTTGAACATCACTATTTTCTGATAGTTATTCATAACCACTGCACTAAAAAAAGATAGCATGCAAATTCCAGGACCACTCTTACTGACCTTATTCCCTACATGCAGCTAAAACACGAAATCAGCTCAATACACTATTACCTCAGCTATGTGTTACTCAGTAGCTGAGACGCCAGAGACATCAACCCTGCAATAGAATCACAGCTGTAGTCGAAGAAGGGAGGGTAAATATGGCAGTCCTGAATGTTGTCAGAAATGCAGCAAGAACACCTGCATTTATACACTTAACAGTATTTCCAGGTAAAATCCACCCAAACCTACTTTACCCTCTATCACTATTGCCGGGTGAAAATCACCAAAACATGTGCATGTAGGAAAAAGTGGGTTTTGGATCAGGGAAACAAATTTGCCTACAAAGATGTGAAAGGCAATGCTGAAACTACCCAGAGACCCATGATACTCAGACAAACGCAACAGAATGAAAATCACGTAAACATGTTTGGTCGGGTGAAAATCACCCGGCGATAGTGCTCTAGAGATAAACAGTGTGCAGGTTTCCACTTGGTCTGACACCTACCCCCGCCAGTGGTCCCAGATATTAAAAATCTTAACATAGAAACAGCAAGTCTTCTTGCGAATGGTCTTGTTTGCCTTTTGGGGTCAGAAAAAGGCAACAATATCAATTTCAGTCTTTTTCATGATTGTATAAAAACTCCCTACAGGAGCCTACAGGAGCACGGTGTCGTATTCTTGGAGTTGGCGCGGTCCCTATCGTGGAGTAGTAGGGCCCAATGAGGGATTCTATTCACGGGGCCCTAAATCCCTGGCAGCACCCCTGCTCGCACATGGTTGGCAGCACAAGTGGACACCAAACAATAGCTGTATATTTCCTGCATTCAGATAGAAAGTCGTGACTGCATGAATTCCTGCGGAACTGATGCAGACTTTTGCTAAAGGAAGGTGTTGGAATATGTAAACTTATCTCAGAGTATCTTTACTGATCCCAGGGGGGGGAATGTGAGCTCCAAGCAAAAATAAAAGTTCTTGCATTTACAATAGCACTTTCTGCAGACGGGGATAGTTTGTAAGAAGAGGAGTTAATGTATCTCCTTTTTTTTTTATGATCGTCATACATATTCAAGAGAACCACCTACAGTATCGCACTTTGTATGAGTTTATGCAAATGACAGCTCAAGTCAAAATTACCGGCCTCCACTTAGTCTGTCTCTTTTGCTCTCTCCAGCAGCATCTTCGCCTGCTCAGCTACTGTTGTGGTGCTTGCTGAACAAAAAAAAAAAAGAACCATGTCGTTTGAGAAACAATGTTGCTGTGCTGCAAGCTGGGAAAAAAAGCTTGTCTAGCAACTTGTTTTCCACAGAGATGATGATGTGTGCACATGCAAGAAAACACCACTGATGTATTGTGCATATAAAAAGAAAACAGTATTTTACTGTATTTGCAGAATTTAACCGTTTTTATTAATTATTCAGATGGACTCGATTTCAACCTCGCTCTTTCTGCTGCCAGCTGATGAATAACAGTAAAATAAAGCAATGGAGTTCAGCAAAGGGACATTACATTATCTCTGTTTTCCACTTTATATCCACCTCAATTTTCTTTCTTCACATTCTTATCCATTGGGAGAAGCAGCAGAATCATTACCCCACTGCTTCCCCATTTGCCAGCAATGCAACCACAGGTCCAAATATCCAATCCAGTCCTCTTTATTTTCTTCCCTCTACACAATTTAACAGCAGATAAGAGCCTGTGCTTTATGTCTAGATCCACACATACCTCTAATTGCCAGTGCCTGTCCTTTCTACTAAGTCATTAGTACCATAATGCGCTGTGAAGTCTATCTCTGGCCCAGAATGCTGCGCTCAGCTCGCTGTGGTTGGCCGTGCCAACAGGAATATAAGAACAAGTCTGAGTTAGGGAGGATAATATATAAAACATATCCACATGTGGCTTGTCTTGTGGTATTTTTGGAACAGATAGATAGTATTGTGACTCAATTTGGAGCGTATTGGTCTTTTGCACCTTAATCTGAATTGAATATGGGATTTTAATCAAAACGGCGTGGGGAAAATGAGTTGATTTGACAGTTTTCGTCACCAATAAAGAAGCACCAACAGGAGAGCTGCCAAACTGAGAAGAAATGGATATAAAACATCTGGAGTTCTCGCAATGACTGAAAGAAAGACATCTATAAACATGCTAATATGAACTGCTCACACAACAGAAAAGTGAGACTTGAACAGAGAAAGCTGAGGCCAAAAAAAGAGAGGAAAAAACTAATTGGGACTATTTTTTACCCAAAACAAGCCAACATATGTTGTTGTCCTAAACTGCTACACATAGCATATTTAATCGCACCAATAAACCGCACATATTTAGCGATAAATTAGCTTAATGAGGCGGTCAATGCTGTATGTGAAGGCTGTAACCCGACAAAAGGAGTCGTCCCTGTGAGCTAGTGCAGCATTTTATGGCTTTAAGCTTATTTCATAGCCCATCTGTCGTGCTACTTTACTGTACCTGACACCCCTGGTGACTGAGTTATCAAAAAAAAAGAAACTATTGTTTGCTTCTTTATGTTCACATCCCATACTCCGAGTTTCTACAGCGCCTGCACAAAAAAAAGAAAGGTTTAGACGTATATTCTCAATAGCCCTTGACTTCACCCAAGGCCCTTAATTTTCAACATACTGGAGTGGGAGTTGAGGAGGTGTTAAATAACTGTTTAAAAGCAAAATAGGAGATGGGTTAAAATACAAAAAGAGGTCTAAAGGTGGTTAATGGAAAGCTTGAGTTCAACTTAGAAGTATGTCCAAGTTAAGTGGGATGCTGTATAGATTTACAAGAGTGCAACAACCTTGTTCAAGTTCACCCGAGGTGAAAATAACTGCATTAGCCACGGTTTGAGGCTAATCTAAACACAACCAGGGGATTAATCTCTGCCAAAACAACACTTGGATGTGTTTTTTTGTTTATTTGGTCCAGTTTAAAACAAAGCGATCTCTTGGGTCAGTGTTTCTTTTCCGCTTTTCTCGACTGACCGAGTGCCATTTCACCCCGGGTCTTTTTTTTTATCCGCTGTTACACATTCCTTCTTAAATTGATACAAACCCTTCAAGGATGTGATTCTGAGCAGATTGAGTCACCTGATTCAGACTTTTTAATGACCTAAAATTACGAACTGCCGCGAAATTGTTATGCTTAATGGTAATTCAATCACAAACAGTTGACTCGCAAGCAGAAATGCGCTTCCTAATTTAACTTTTGGGCTGTAGTAGAATTGCCTCGTGATTCTCAAAAAGAAGATGAGAGGATTCGCAGAAACGTACATGAAGCCCAGAGTGTTGTGCATGAACAGGCAGGAGAAAGTTAACAGGGGAGGTATTATGGGAGCAAGCTAAAGGTAGTCTTTTAGGCTGTTAGCTCATGCAGAGAGGATTCATCTCAAATGGCGAATAAGAGGCAGACGAAACAGTCATTTGTTCCGGGCCTAATTGGGCTCCATTTTAAAATCTGCCGCAATAATGGCTTTAAAAGAAAGAACAGCATCAAATCAGCGCTGTAATACCGGTGAAAAAGAAATGTCCAGCAGCTCTTGCAGCGAGGCAGTACAATAAAACACAAGATGATGATTTCCAGTTGGAATATCACATCCATAATAATCATTACAGCTATTATATCAGTGGGGTGCTTTGGTGTGTGGCTGCATATGACCAAAATGCACATGGCGCTTAACAAGCCCACATAATTACTGGGTAACAGCAGTCTAATGGTTGAGATACAATGTTTGGTCATGGCTGTCTGGGTTTTTCCTCCAGTTTCTAGGATGAAAACAATGAGAAATCAATGGTTTGTTTAGTAAGGCTGTCAGAATGGCTCTTCAGACGGCTGTGTTAGCTTAGAGTCTCATAGCGTAAACCATTCGGTCCACACCTCAATACTTCCTTGGATCCTGTACAGATTGAGGCAAGTCAAAGTTTTTCACACGAAATCCAAACTGTGCAAAATTTGTTCATGTAAGCATGACTATTTAAAGGGATATTCCACTGTAAAATTAAGTTAGGGTCAAACACACCGTAACACAGAGTTAGACACCCCATCGAGAGATGAATGTTGCTGAACGCTTGCTTCTCCAGTTATACCAACTTTAGCAACGACAACAGATAGCAATACGATGCATTTTCCTGGTCCACAGATGATGAATCCTAATGTGCTGCTATGGCTCAAGAACTTGTCTCTAAATCTTAAGTTTGACCTGTTTTAGACTGTGTCCGAAATGAATCACTCAATCCCTAACCCCTAACCCCCATATGGAATTTCACTATACAGCTGACTATGTAGTGAGCTCAATCGCCGGAGGTTTCGGACACTACATGGCATGATGCAATGTTTGACGGGATGCCCACCACCGGTGAGTGACCATCGTATGGTCACTACATTTTGCAATGCTCTATGGGAAATTTTGAGTTGTCTATATGGGGCATTGGAATTGATAACTCAGGTTTTGGACACCCCTCAAAATGGTGCTAACCCCCATATAGTCGCCTATATAGGGGTTAGGGATCACTGTCAAACACAGCCTTAAGGTCCTTAAATGTAGGGACCGTTTTTTTTTTCGTGCTATTATTTTGGAAGTCAGTTTTTTTTTCGTGCTTGATGTGTGTAGTCAAGCGCGTCAAAATTCGCCTCTGAATATTTCATAATTTTGCGTCGTATATTTGCTTCGTTCCAGGTGTGTAAGGACCTTTACCCATAAGCTTATGTTTCCTATGTTTGATAACTATTTTTCATAGTCCCCTGAGGGTGTTATTTTTTGTTGCCACTGATTTAAGACTTCTGTACACAGCCCAGTATGTACAGGTTTGTCAGATTTAGTCATGAAGTTGAAGGTTGTAGAAGATCTGGAATTCGTATTCCTGGTCCCGAGAAGATGACTCTAGAGTGTGTTGCCATGGCAAATACGCCTGTATGTTCTGTATAGCTAGAGTGTGAGAAGGTACATGAAACTGTCTGAAACTTCTCTCTTTCCACGCGCCTCCTGGCCAGAAATTACACTCTGCACATTTTTTTTTCCATAGTTGTAGACACACTTGTTCTGTCTCTAATGATGTCTTCATCTAAGCAAAGAAAATTACAGACTCGAAACACTGAGTCCCTAAGTGAGGCAATGTCTCTCTGCTCCTCAGTGATGCTAATTCAAAGATTTTCTGAGGGGAGCAGATGGCACTCCTGTTTTTAACTTGCAGGTAGAAACACCAAAGACCAAAATCACATCGAAGCGATCAGGAAGTCCTTAAGATGACGACAGTGTGCTTATTTTTCTGATAGGAGCTACCGTTTTAAGGCTAAAACATACATGATATTATTTGGAGCGTGGCGGCAGTGTCACACATCACGCAGCAAATAGATTGCCATTCTAATCAATGCAGCAAAGCATACAGGGCGTGTATCAACTCAGTCCCAGCATTGTATTGAGAGCAGCTCTGCTGAAGATACGCGGCGAGTCTATTGTTGCTGCTCTATGCTTCCAATGCGCATCAGTCCACACAGATACGATTGTTCCAGACAGGAAGTCAAGCATGAAAACCGCACATGTCATCCAGTATTTCAAAATAAAACACAATATGCGGACTCCTGACTGTGTATCAGTTCATGTAGATAAGAAATACAGTACTTCCTGGTTATGGATTTATCAGGAACACAGAACAATCTGATGGTCAATCCCTGATCCATGTGGACCCTAACAGGACTATTAACTGCTAACTCTGTCTGAAGGTAACAGCACAGCATTAAGGTCCTTACACACCGGGAGCATTATTTTTCGTGCGATTATTTCGGATCACATCGGCAACGTTTTCCCATCCTGCTATATTGTGGCATTTACTTTTTCGTATCACGGTCGATTTTTTGTGTGTCCACTTCTGACCAATCAGATTTCACGTCGTTGCGACGTCAGATTCACCGGTATATCCAACATGGCCGACCGGCTGATTGTTTACGTGTCAGAGAACAGATTACTTTTTGATAAAAACACAAATATTACAAAGATAACGACCTGAAGGACAACTTGTGGAGAGTCATAGCGTCGGATTTCTCATATGACGATGGTTTGTGTGCTTTAACAGTTTGCTAAATGTCTTTGTTTTAACTTTCATCTGTGCTAAGTAACTTTAGCTCGTAAGCTAACCTGTTCAGATACAACTTTCACTGTCTCGAACTCAATCCCGTTGCTGTCACAGCACCATTAGGTCTTGGTTGTTACCTTACGTTTATGGATTATAGTTTAATGTGCTTGTCTGGTACTGGCCCCGACTCAGTACATGCTATCATGACAGACAGACATCTCAACACTAGTGTCTAATCAGAACTGAAAACAGTCAGTCTGCTGTTGTGTCAGTCTTCTCGTTTCCACCCGGGATGCGTCTTTTTTCCCCCCAGAAAGTCCCAAAATCACATTGCGCTTGATGTGTATAATCAGACGCGTCAAAATTAGTAATATTTTACAATATTTCCTAATTTGGCATGGTATATTTGCGTTGTTCCCGGTGTGTAAGGACCTTACACCTGCAAAAAACGAAGCTGTAAAATCACATTGCTTTTTCACACGTAGTAGAGGCTCACCAGTCACCGAATTATATCAAAATCAGCAGGAGACAGACTGCAGAAAGACAAAACAACCTGTAATGACCATGTTTTTTTCTTTATAGTGAGCCCAGCTGACCAGGGCTGCACTACGCTGCTGCTACGCTCCAAATACGCATCCTGTATGTTTTCGGCTTTAATGTGAGACCAGCGCCAAACGACGTTTTGACTGCCTCAGCCTGCAAGTTGCCGTAGCAACCTGTCAGCCCCCCGCCAGGCCCACAGCTGAAACCAATTGACTAATTAGGGACTGCTTTGACATCACTACATCATTGAATCACTTTCAGAGCTATTCGAATAAATACTGAAAAGCTGACTCTCAATCAGTCACATTGCATTTGTCCGATTTTTCTTAAAAGGTCAATGTTTTTGGTTAAAACTCAGCGTACATGAATCCTATCAAGACTACTTCAATCCATTTTTTCCCCCTGTTATCAGAGCAGTACAAAACTACACATTTAAAACTCCACACACTAAACTTCATATCTGATACCCTCACAAAAGACTTCCCCAACATGAAAAAACAATTCTCCAGTGGATTGTCAGTTTCTATCAGGCAGCCAAATAAAAAGACAGATTTGAAAAGAGAAAATCACCGGAGAAGACAAGAAGAGATCTCAATTTTGTTAATACAAAATACTTAGTTTATTAGTCTGTAAGGAATTAACTGGAATTAGAAACCTTCTTTAAGTTTACAGTTTGCTCGGGGCCCCATGGACCACAACCACTTTTACAATTCATTCATTATTGGCAATGAAAACCTAATCATACTGTTGTTCGGATCTGAACTCATCCAGATTGGGATATTAAGTTGTAAAATGGAGAAAAGAATCCCATTTTCTCCGCCGCTAATGCATCTTTTAACAGTGCTTTGAAAAACCCCCTGTGAGGGTTATTTGAATATCAATAAGCCAAGAGACTGTGTGTGATCAAAAAACCTCCAGAGTCAAAAGTTTGCAGCCGAGCGTGGATGACCCAGACAGATGGCAGCTCTCAATCCCTGGACAGTGAAAACGAGACTCAAGGCAAAACTTGAGAGGGATGAAATTTGAGCGAGCTTAAGAGGGTTGTGTTTCTCTATGGGAGAAGGGAGGAGGGGGGAGGGGCACGGGGGCGTGCAGCTCTGTCTGCTGGTGCAGGGGGATTTAGACAGATTAAAGACTAGTATTTATGGGAGAGGTTTGTACTTTCAGATGTTTACTTTACAGCAGGGGTCTGGGCTCTGTGGGACCCTGCAAGGTCAACCTACCACGGTAAAAAAAGGATGCCACACAAGACTCCCAAAAAGTTTTTTTTTTTCCAATGGCCAGCACAGTGGAAAAGGTATTATTTTCCTCAAAGCTGAGATAATGGAGCGCAGCAAGACTGGTAAAAATGCCATTTTGTACATATAAAGCTGGCCTGAAAATATGCAGCAGGGTAAACTTCATATGAAAACCAGCGGAGCTCTGAAACCAGAATCATCGGCTCAAAGAAGATGAATACTGTTATAAAAACTACATTAATATAAAGTATGCTTTATTGCAGAACTCAAGCTTTAAAGGAGAGAGCAATACATTCTAATCTATCATCAGACATTAAAGAAACATGAAATACTGGCTGCTTTTGGAGATTATATCAGTCAGTATATCCTCCTCTGAAGTTTTGAATTCAAAGTAACAAAATGAACGACGCAAGTATACGACGCAAAATACGAAATATTCAGAGGCGAATTTTGTCGCGCCTGACTATACACATCAAGCGCAATGCGATTTTGCGACTTTCCAGGGGGGGAAAAAAGACACGTCCCAGGTGGAAGCGAGGAGACTGACACAACAGCAGACTGACTGTTTTTCAGTTCTGATTAGATACTAGTGTTGACATGTCTGTCTGTCATGATAGCATGTACTGAGTCGGGGCCAGTACCAGATAAGCACATTAAACTATAATCCATAAACGTAAGGTAACAACCGAGACCTAATGGTGCTGTGACAGCAACGCGATTGAGTTTGAGACAGTGAGAATACATATGGTGTGTTGTATCTGAACAGGTTAGCTTACGAGCTAAAGTTACTTAGCACAGATGAAAGTTAAAACAAAGACGTTAAAGCACACAAACTATAGTCATATGAGAGATCTGACGCTATGACTCTCCACAAGTTGTCCTTCAGGTCGTTATCTTTGTAATATTTGTGTTTTTTATCAAAAAGCACTCTGTTCTCCAACACGTAAAAAATCAGCCGGTCGGCCATGTTGGATATACCAGTGAAGCTGACATCACAACAACACACAATCTGATTGGTCAGAAGTGGACACACAGTATGCGAAACTTTAGAAAAATTCGACTGTGATACGAAAAAATAAATGCCGCAATATCGCAGGACGGGAAAACGTCGCTGATTTGAACACTTGTATTGACAGGATACGGGTTTGAAAAAAAAATATCGACGTCTGAAATAATCGCACGAGAAAAACGATCCCGGTGTGTAAGGACCTTAAGACTCCACTTTTGCAAACCGAAGAAGAGACAAAAGAAGCCGCTTCTAGCTAGCTTGGGGTAGCATCCCCCAAGAGATGATTCAGCACTTTTACAAACTGATAGTGAATTTCAGGATTCATCATACATCTCTGAATTGTAAATGTTTGGAATTGAAGGTGCAGTACCCATTTTGAACACTAGGTGTACAAATTACATACTGCACCTTTAAGCCACTGTCGTGTTTTATATGAAGGAACAAATACCAAATTTTACAGAGCGTATCTTGAGAGTTTCTCAGTTTCAGTGATGCATGTTTGTGCCTGATGTTCTTTTAAAAAATCAAATGGCCAGTATTCAAGCTGATGTAACTGCACTCTAGGCCATGAAACTGAGAGAGCACCCACATGTTTGAAAGTTGAAGGAAATTAATGTGGCAGATATAAAGTACATAGATACCCTGGATCCAGTTCTCATGAATCGTGACCACAAATATTCATCATGGGCAGATACAGACAGAAAAAGTCAGAAAATTCCTACTTAGCAAAGTGATGGTGCCATCATAATCTGACAAGAGTGGCATCAGTAAGATGCTCTGAAGTGACAGCATGTTTAAAATTTGCATAATTAGCTTCAACAGCTGCAATTAGGCTGTCAGGAGACTCTCATCAAAGGCAACAAAGTCTTTTTTGGACAGAGTGGTGAGAGGATAAATAAAAGCATCAAAACGCTATTAAAATCAGATCTTTAATGACCATCAAAGAATTACAGTTAGACCTCTTTACTTCAGTGAGAACTCACATTTACAAATACAGACCCATTTTAAAGCTCTGTTGAAGAGGCTGCTTTTCCAAACCAAGACTAGAAATTACCAGAAAACAACAAGAGAGCAGACACAGCTGAAAGACAATGATTAGGATACATGATAATCAGCGTAGTATCAGAATCAGCAGATCCGCTTACGCAAATCATGTAATCTATATAAAATCATATATTGACAGAATATTACTGTAGAATGTTATAATGACTGTTAAAAGTCTGTGGCACAAGAACAGAGCCCTGAGGAATCCCTTAATGAAGACCGAATAGATTATATATGAAAATCAAGGCTAGAGGTCTAAATATGATATAATGACTCATCTTTTTAACCCAAGCACCAACTTGAAAGACTGTGGTTTTGCTGCCATTTGACTTCTACTTTCTGCAAAACTTGGAAAAACCACATCGGTGACTCATCTCTAAGTATACTAATTATGTATTTATGGGTGATTTTAGGATGACTACCTGAACAGAATCTGTTTTCTTCACCTTCCATCCCACACTCCAGACTGAAAGAAGTAATCTAGCTTTTTCATGAATGAAAGAAAAGAAAACATGCATGAGTTTTGATCTACAATAGCTTTTTAGTAAGTTTTAAGCAACAACCAGACTGAAAACTCTGATGTTTCTACACTTTGTTGAGAATGCACAGAAATCAAAATCTGTGGCTTACTAGAAAAGATCTATAATAAAAAAAAAACAGATAAAAAAGGTCTTCGTACAAACTTTTCTTCCAACGAAAACAAAATCGTGTTTGACTGACACCACAGAGAAAGCACAAAGCTCCATAAATGCTTATTTTCTCACGGTTACAATGCTGCCTTTGATCAGATCAATGTGACTCAACAAAATGAAGTTGAGTTTTCTGAAAATCCCACAGATTCTTACATGGCAAAAAAGCAGATTTGGGTAAGAGTTTGTGTAAAGTTTAGCATTTTCAAACTTTATATTCAAGCTTAAGGGAATTGAGGTCCCTTTTGTTTTAGTGAGAAGCCAAAATATGTATCCAAAACCTAATTTTCCCAACTCTGTGACTTTCAAAGTAAAATAATATTAAAATTTAGCTCCGGGACAATGAGAGCAGTATCACAAAGATTTTCAGTCCAGACTTATAATGAAACAATAACTTTTGCAGAAATATTCTCTATAAAAATCACCATCCAAAATGCCTCTCTCTTTCTTTGGCAGAACAAAAACTGCCACCAGGACTAAATCTATGCAAATAAATATGACAAAATAGGCTTTATATTTTGGCTTGTGTCCTAGAGTTGAAAATATATGTTTTTTGTCTCCAAACATAGTTATTGTGGTATATTGAGTTTTTGCTCACGCAGTCTCTCACAACATGTTCACCCTTTTTTTCTCCATCTACGTGTAAAATAGGGCACTCACACCAAGCACGAGTAAAATCAACTACTCACTTAATTCACGGGAACCTAGACGCATAGATGAATAGAATTTACTCTCCCATTCGTGCATCAACAATAATTTCAATGGCAATCCCTGCCAATTCAACCGGTGGGATCAAGTAATAGACAGTTTTTTTTACAATTTACCAGGTAATCCAACCTCCTCACTCACTTGCCTCCAGACGACCTCCTTTCTTTATTCCAGTTTCAGTAATTATAAGAAAAGGTATCATATACGTCACCTGGCAACCTCCGTGCTGGATAGTTATCGCAACTTTAATATCCGCTCAAGTCGAGACATTTTCAGCTTCCGCCCAATTCGCGTCATTCACGCCGCCAGGGTAGTGGGAGCATCTAGTCGCATCTTTGCATCAAATTAACAAGTAATTCATTCGCGCTTGGTGTGTGGAGACAGGAACAGTCGTGCAGTTATAGTATTTGAGAGATCAGCGCTTGTTTGCTGCAAACAGAAGCCAATCTGTTTGGCTTTTTCTTCTCCAAATTATTACAGCATCTTTATCTGTGTTTACAACTGCTCCCTGGTGTTTAGCCTCTTCTTCACCCCGTAGGCCCATCCAGACATCCGTCAAAATACTCACAGTAAAAATGCAAATGTATGTACTGTACACCTGCCGCCTCAGAATCTTCTAAACTGAAATGTTTTCAGTCCCTCAGGTAGGAACACAACATATTATGTCAAACCTTTATCATTCCGCCTACATGTTGTTGGCTTCTACCAAAAATTGAAAGTTTCACTCTTGTTATACAAGAATCTTTTGGAAACTTTCTTTTTTTGTTGTTGCTGTGGTAACCTTTATTTTTTAGTCCTGAATAGCTAAGTCTGATATTGTAGTCTAAACAAGTTACATCTTGTTACTGTCACTATTTCCTGTTCACGTTTTACTGAGCATTGAAAATTTAATGCAGCGTCCCAAAAAACGTTGGAGTATGAGGGGGAAAAGTACAGCTGGTGTTGGAGAGCTAAATAATTTAAAGTTATGGGGATCCAGGGAGCCACATCATAACAGGTAAAGATGAACAAAAACTCCTCCTCAGGGTTGCCCCGAGTCATTGAGCTGACTTGCTTGATCGCCTGGGGAATCATCCATGTACTGCAAAAGCAGCAGAGAGGACTCCGGCTCTTGTTTCCTCTCCCATCTTTAAAGCTCTGTCTCCGGAAGACAGCAGTAATAACCCACGACTCTATTTAAATTGGCAACCTTTTATGGCTAGAAAAACTGAACTTTCCCCATCTCGAGTGCCGCTTTGACTGACAAGTGTGTGTGTTTGACACCGCCTCCCTGCATGCAAATAGATTTCCATACCGGAGGTTGTGGCTGTAACTACTTTTTGGGCTACCTTCCCATCTTCTGCAAGGTCACACTCCCATATGTGAGTAAGTTTTTATCCCTCTGCTGTGATTGATTACACCGGCTCAATGGTACCAATTAAATTCCCCCAGACAGACAGCATAGCGTCTATCTGGCAGCTGACAAGACGGCGCTTAAAAAGAGCTTTAAAGTCACTTCTATCACTTTAGGATCTTGTTTTTCGCAGTATATTGCCAGTTGGTTTCAAATCCCTTGGTAATTAGTCAGACGAAAAAAGCATCAATTCGACTTAAAATTCAAAACTTTCCGTTCTTGTACGCTTAGAAAGACATTTGTGGCCATAGCTCAAACTAACAAATGCAAAGCAACATGCGGCCAACAGCTGGTATTGATTATCATATTTGTTTGTTGAAAATTGCCTCTCAGAAATCAGCGTATTTATGTGAAGGGGTGCTCTGTTTTCTTGTGTGTGCCAGTTCTGGTTCGAGGCCGTTTCATTTGTTTTCAGGGGTATTTTTAGCGGCGGAATTATTCTCTGTGAACAAGCCTGCATTTTCCAAGCGCATTTGTTCTAATTATAACGGGCATCACGATGCTATCCCCCCTATCATCTCCCAACTGCTGCGAGCCCTCCACAAAAGCAAACCACACACATACACACACACACAGAGAAAAGCTGGATGATTCCCCCACACATAGGAAATGAGAGAAGAGAGATTTGATTACCGAGTGTATCCTGTGTTTACCTTTTTTTGCATTTGCTTCACTGAACTGCAGAATCCTTCCCAGGCTTCACATTAACACAAACTGACTTACTTTTTATTTATTTGTCGAGCTGACTAATGACTCAGATGTCGAGCAGTGATTTGAGAAACAGCTTCGAGGGCTCAAAGGGTGAGCGCACAGGGCCAGGAACTATCAATCAGATACATTCGCTTTCCAATTGTGCCTGTCATGTACAACTCGGCTTGCGAAAAGAACCGGGACACTGAGTGAAATGTTACTAGAAACCAATCGGATAATCTGTAAATCATTAAAAATAAAGGAAAACTAATATTTGAACACCAAACATGACAGATGTGGTCCCATTCTTGCCTGATTAAGTCCATCAAGTGAGGGTTGTGGGTGGACTCTTCTACTACAGAGCCAGGCTGTTGTAAAACAGACAGAATTGTTTTGTTGAAGTTTGCGAGGTCTTTCCTTAAACAAGCAGTGTTAGTATGTGACGT